TGTTGAAAATAGCTGTTGGAGCGTTTTTTTGTGTCAAAAAAGTTATTTCTTGAAGAAAGATAAGGAAATATCTCGTACTTATTTTAAATAGGAATTTAGTACATAGTTTGCGATTGATTTGACCAAACTTTGTTGCTAAAATAACTTGTAATGCTTTATTACATAAATTAACCATGGTATATTCCACAGCAGAAAGAGTTGAAATTATCGCAAACATTTTTCGGAAATAAACAGTGCGCTAATAGAACAGCAGAAATATTTGATGAGCGACATGAGAACAGTAACGTGCATCGAAAATATGTTCTAGAACTTGTAGCTAAATTTTGGGAAACTGGGTCAGTCGCCAATAAAAAACGCAACATTGAAAATCCCATAAGGAACGAAGCAATAGAAGTGGAGCTTTTAGGGCAAGTTTATGTAGATCCTACGTACCCGCAAATTGGAGACTGTGTGCGGTGTTAGTCGACGTACTGTCCAACGGATGCTAAAGGCCCATAGTTTTCATCCGTATAAAATTCACCTGGTACAAGAACTTAATGAAGACGATTTTGATCGGCGATTACAATTTTGTGACGATATGAGTGAACGAATTATAAGCGATGAACATTTTCTATTCAACACTTACTTTTCCTACGAATGTTCCTTTTTCTTTTAAATGGCGTAGTAAATCGTCATAACTGCCGATATTGGTCCGATTTGAATCCCAGAATTTACCATGAGGTTCATACACAGCAGCTACAAAAATTAAATGCTTGGGCTGGTATTTTTTGCGATCATTTAGTTGGTCCTTTTTTCTTACCTGGAAATTTGACCGGTGAAATGTATTTGGAATTACTGGAAGATACCATAGATCCTGCATTACCAGCCATAATTGAAAATCAGAATGATTGGGGGTACATTGCGAATATGTTCCAACAGGATGGTGCCCCACCACATTACGCATTACGTGTTCGACAATATTTAGATCAGACGTTTCCAGATCGATGGATTGGTAGAAGAGGTGCCATTGAATGGCCCCCAAGATCGCCAGATTTATCACCTTTGGATTTCTTTATGTGGGCTCATTTAAAAAGCAAAATCTATGCTACTCAGCCAACATCATTAGAAGTCCTGCGACAAAGAATTGTGAATGAGTGCCTTCAAATTAGTCCTCAAACATTGCAAAATGTACGGCAACGTTTTGAGCAAAATCTTTATTATTGCATGGAGGGTCATGGTGGCCATTTTCAACATTTACTTGCCTAACGGGTCAGTTCATTCTTCATTTTTAAATTACTTTGCTGTCAAATGCATTGATCTCCACTAATGATGATGTATTAGTTTTATTTAAGCTTTAAATCAATAAATCTTCAAAACTACTGAACTGAAGTACATTAATTTTATATCATTATAAAGGGAATTGAAAGACCTTTAAAATAAAGTATCACTCGACCCCCCTTTCCATTTAAGATTTTGGGGGTGGTGTCACCCCCGCTTAGGGGGCTGCACGTGCTAACGTGATTTTTTGCCAAACTGGTGTCCCCCTCGAAAACAAAATCGACGGGTCTGAGCGTTTTTCCAAAAAAGAAAACTGAGCTGCCACTAGATGCGTCTGTTTCGTTTTCGATGCGCCACCCTGTATGTAGAAAATAATGGCAGCCTGTTTGAACGCCTAATGTGAATAAAATAAAAATAATGTTATAAATGTATTCGAATTACCGGGGTATCAATATATTAATGCTAAAATAAATAGAGATTAAACGTAGCCTTGTCAGGTCTTTGTATACATACTGTACTGAGATTTGTGCAGTACCTGACGTTCGGCTCCATCTGCTAGGTTAAATAATATGAATATGTTGATTTGGACGTCTGTGCTTTGATTGCCGTGATAACACTAGCTGTTTTCGTATTCTAAATCTAACCAGCTCTTCTGTAAATTCAGACTTCGATCTTTTTTTCTGAATTCCTTATGGGTTAATTCCTTCTGAGCGCAGAACATTTTATTACATCATACACTTTCAAGTTTGTTTCCGTTTTAATATTTAAAGATGCTTTCCATAAGTATGGTAATATTTATTAATATTGATATTACTGACCACTTCTCCACTATTTTACTGATATCTTCAAATGAAAAACATTCTAACATCCCTACCGTTAGTAACAACCAGGAAAATTACAAATGTTTTGTCGACAATTCATAACTAATATCAAATGTCAAACAAGAATCCTGGGAACAATTATACTCTATAAATAATATAGACAAAGCAACGGGACTGTTCATAGAGAAAATAAAAAAACTAATAGATATTAGTACCAATAAAGTAATAATTAGTCACAAAGAGAAAAGCAGAAATGCCTGGATTACCAAAGGATTAATAACATCGGCAATAGAAAAAGAAAGACTATATAATATAATGAAACTAACGCCAACTACAGAGAATACCGACTGTTACAACCAATATAAAAATAAATTTATAGAGCTTGCAAGGCAAACCAAACGAAAACATTACCTAAATAAATTAAATAATAACTTAAATGATCCTAAGCGGCTTTGGACAACTATTGATGAGATTACTGGGAAAACAAAATTCAAATAGTGTGTCACTGAGTTAAATACAACATCGGGAACAGTATTAAAAAATACTCAACAGATATGCGATGAATTTGTACAATTCTTTACTGACATAGGCGAAAATTTAGCAAGTAATATACAAGCAAATGTACAAAATACTCAGCCTCCAAAAAGAACTTTGAACTCATTTATTTTGGATAAAGTCGAGCAATGTGAAGTATACACCACTGTTATGTCCTTAAAAAATCGGAAAAGTCCTGGGTTCGATGGTATTAAAAGCGAGCATTTGAAAATTATAGCCGAGGACATAACAGAACCACTCACTTACCTAATCAACAAATGCTTTGAATCTGGCATATATCCCTCAATTTTAAAAAAAGGTAATATAATACCGATACATAAATCAGGAACAAAAACAGATGTTAACAACTATAGACCAATATCAATAATATCCAGTGTAGCAAAGGTTTTTGAAAAAGTTTTATCTACTAGAATGATTCGATACCTCACAAAATTCAAAATTTTAAGTAAAAATCAATATGGATTTACAGAAGGGAAGGCTACATCGGACGCAATAACTAAAATTGTAAATCAAATACATCAAAATATTGATAACAGAATCCCTTCAATCTGCATCTTTGTTGATTTAAAGAAAGCTTTCGACACAGTTAATCACAAATTATTATTAGAAGCATTGGAGAGAATTGGTTTCAGAGGAAACGCGTACTCACTGATCGAAAGTTATTTGTCAAATCGCCCACAATCTGTGCAGATATCAGGATCATTTAGTAAAGAAATGTATATTAAGTGTGGTGTCCCACAAGGAACTGTCTTAGATCCGCTGTTATTCAATATATATTTAAATGATATTTTCCAAATTAATTGTGTTGGCAAAATAACTAGTTTTGCAGATGATACTGCAATATTATATGAAGGCACTGACTGGTCTGATCTGAAAAATGTAATTGAAAATGATTTTATCAAAATTATTCGGTGGTTTAACAGTAGAAAATTAAGCATTAACTACTCTAAAACACATTTTTTACCATTTGGATCTTATGCTAGACATCTGCCAAATTACACAAATTTCTCCTTCAATATTAATGATCAAAAAATGCAAATTAATAGAGTGCCCAACATAAAATACCTTGGAGTGGTCTTGGACCTCACTTACGATGGGACATCCATGTCAATTATATTTTAAAGAAAGTTAGATTTGTATCCTACAAAATTAAATACCTTGGGAATATATTGACAGAAAAATATCTTCGAACATTATACCATGCACTGATTGAGCCTCATCTCACATTATGGTATATTAGCATGGGGAGCTGCATGTTCCTCACATATCTATAATTTAGATGTTTTTCAAAAAAGTATTCTAAAAATGATATTTAAAAAACCGAAACTTTATCCCACTGAAAAATTATACGCAGATGTTCGAATGTATGATATAAGAAAGCTTTATTTCTTACACAGTATCACTCACTACCATAAATTTGTAAACACCGACCAAAAAATTAAACATAATCATTATACCAGGTACAAAATTCGTGGCACAGTAGTTCCTCAACCGCATAAGTCTATAATGCAGCGATCATATCTCTATTTAGCGCCTAAATTTTATGAAATTATACCTAAAGACTTAAAAGATTTACGTTTCGGAAATTGTTTCAAAAGAAATTTAACAAAGTGGCTACATTCTATATCTAGGACTGAAATTCATAAACTCATAAATACGAACATCAACTAAATACATAATCTACTGTAGCTAATTTTTGTCCTTTTTTGTCATTTGCATTCTACAGTTTCAACTTAAATTTATTGGTCCATGTACAGGCGATGCCTTCTATTGGGCCTGTTTTGATTTTATATTTATTTACTCATATTGTTTGTTATCTTTGTACATTGAGTGAATAAATATTATTATTATTATTATTATTATTATTTTACGCTTTATTTATATAGATATTATCTGTCAAAACTATCTTTTACACGCCTCTATACTGATGCACGGAAGCACTATGTAATGTGCTTCTCATTTCAAGTTTGAGTCATATTGTATCTATTTCAGTCGGTTTCCTTCAAGTTGCCTAGAAATAACTCTACTTAGAAAGACCTATTTTTAAATAAACTTCTTCAGAGCTTCAGAATGCACTCGATAGATAGAATAAGAGTATTTGTGTATTTCCGTATTGCATCTCTTAGTCATAGCACTCCAGTTATTCTGTTGGAATTCATACCAGGGCATTCCCAAAAGTAGATTATATTTTAATACATGTGGATGGCAGGAAAACCTTGCGAAGTGTGCAGTGGCAACATTGTAAACTTAATTTGCGCGCTCAAACAGCCCTGGAGGCTTCTCTTGTTCCCACTGCCAATTAAACATGATTGAAAATCTTACATGTAGATTGTATCGGATTGTTTTTAAAGCATTTATTTGTTACAGGCGAAATCAGAGGAACATTTGGCGAACGAAAAACTATGGTTAGAGTCGGAAAAACTATGGCTAATGCACAGAGGTGGATTCACGGCAGCGTACAAGGAAACAGAAAACAGTCAGGAACCTGGAAAATTGAAGATACGATTAGAAACTACAGGAGACGTATTAAGCGTCGACGAAGATGATATTGAAAAGGTAAGCAGCATTTTTCGTCATTCCTACAGAAGAAAGTACTTGTGAGTGAAGTCTACAACAGAGTTTTTTTCTAACATAGTGTAAATATACTAAGTGACATATAAATCCGAACACCCAGTTTAAATGGTTTTATTTTAATAAAATTTTGTATAAGTACTTAATGAAGCATAATAAGTAAATGATAAAAAATTCAAAATGATTGCACTGCTTTAAAGCCCTTTGACCTTTAATAATGTGTCGATGCACCCTGATGTGCTACGCATTCTCCAAAGCGAATACAGTATATTCAGATAAGAGATAGACCGGATGTAAACAAAAGGTTCGGGTGATTTTCACGCTAACGCCGCCGTCTCGACGTAAAACAGGAGCCCTCATTGGTCAACTCGCAATTAAATGCCTAAGCGGAGCGGCAGAGCAGTCGTATCAAGGCAGAGTCACATTCAGGTTCAGACGTGTTACGTATGTCATGTGCATCATTGCAATTTGATATTTCTTTGGACGTTTTCGTTTGTTATCTTATTAAGTTGTTGAGTTTGTCGTTGTTATTGTTATACCTTGTTATTGATTGTTATTGTTATCAACTGCTTGCGCAAAATGCCCAGTAGTACAGATACTGCCGATGAAGTTGTAAACTCCTGTAGTCCACCTAGGAAACGCTCTAAAAAAAGACACCTGAGTGCAGAAATGAAAGAGGTCATTTTGAATATATATAAGATCGAGCGCGAGGAGAACGAGGCATCAACCATCATAGAAATTGTTGTGAAGGTTTCTCACAAAGTTGGGGTGTGTCGCGCATCAGTGTTTAATGTGTTAAGACAATACAAAAAAAATCACACCTTTTCTGAGCCAATGACCAGTAAACATCGCAAAAGTATTGTTAAATCATTGGATGAAGCTGATAAGCATGCGATTAGGAGGAAAGTGCATGAATTCTTCTTTAGGAATGAAATACCTACTATAGATAAAGTACTGCCGGAGGTAAATGGAGATACAACGTTGCCAAATTTCAAACGATCAACTTTCCATGCGTTACTGAAGCATTTAAATTTCAAATGGAAAAAACGGGGTCGTAATAGTTTACTACTGGATAGAGAAGAAATTGTGCTATGGAGGAGGGATTATTTAACAAAAATTGGGAAATATAGAAATCAAAACAGGAAGATTTATTACCTTGATGAAACGTGGGTAAACGCAGGACACACTACAAGTAAAGTATGGGTTGATGATTCTGTAACTTCATCCAGGAGGGCCTTTCTAGATGGACTGTCCACCGGATTAAAAAATCCAGCAGGTAAATACGAGTAATAGACAACAATCGGATGTTTTTCAAACCTTGGGAACAAGGTTCTAAACATTAATTCCAGGGGGCAGATAAAACATATTACAAGTAACAAAACTTTTATAACTTTCGATAAAATGCGTGGATGTTTTATTGTCATTTTCATTTGTTAGAACTTTTTTAAGCCATGTTTTTATGTGTTTTCTATATTTCAATAATTTTTTAATATAATCTTAAAATATGTCGAATATTATAAACTTAAAAAAAGTTACTAAGTTTTATATTGTGTACCGTTCCTAATATTTCTAATCATTTTAATTCATACTTTAAGCTTTATAAAGTTATAATTTGTTAATCTTAATATTTGCGCGTATTTCAGGTTCCTGATCATTCATTTTTTAAAGGTTTATAACTCTAACTTAAATTGTGAAGCGCTGAGTAATCATACGACGTTCAATATTCTTTCTTTCAATATGACTAAGTAATCCCAATTATAGCAATCTGATACTCATGTCTCAATGTTTTTTCGCTGAATGTGATGAAAACATTTGAAAAAGGTTCGCTTATTGAAATAAATCTACACCAGTTAGTACTTCGATTTCCAGATTTCCAGGTAAAGGGAAAAGGCTCATTATCTGCCATATTGGCAGTGAGGATGGATTTGTTGTTGACGGTCTGTGGTGCTTTGAGTCTAAGAAAACTGGAGATTACCACGAGGAAATGAATGGCGAATCGTTTGAACAGTGGTTTTCAAAAATTTTCCCGAACTTAGAGGAAAACGCAGTAATTGTGTTGGATAATGCGCCTTATCATTCTCGAAGAATGGAGAAGGTCCCAAAACGGCTTCAAGGAAAGTTGATGTTCAAAATTGGCTCCGCTCGAAAAATATCAATTTTGAAGAAGCAATGCTGAAAGTACAATTATTAAGAATTGTCAAGGATCACAAGGCGGAATATCAAAAATACGCCATTGACGAAATGGCAGCAAGTCAAAATAAAACTGTGCTCTGTTTACCTCCATACCATTGCGAGCTCAATCCCATTGAGCTCATATGGGCAGAGGTTAAAAATTATATAGCACAATACAACTTTTAAATTTTGTGACCTCAAAGGACTTTTCAAAGAAGCACTAGAATTAATAACAGCGCAAAAATGGGAAAACTGTATTAAGCACGTGAAAGACAAAGTTGAAAAGAGAATGTGGGAACTGGACAATATTTTAGAGGAACAAGTCGAGCCATTCATTATTGACGTTGGTGCTTCAGGCAGTAGCGATGATGAAAGCTCATCAAGCTCATCTTTCCAATAAAAGATGTCGTTCATCAAATTCGGTAAGTTATAAGTAATTATAAAGCTACTGTATTTTTTAATTAATTATTGACATTTTTGAACCCATTTTGGCAAAACCTATTCAAGAATCTACTTTCTGACAATGTTCAACCATGCACATTTTTTTACGTTTTGAACGTTTTAATATGGTTACATATTTACCTAGAAATCAAAAAATATACTAATCAATATTCTAAAAGCAATTTTAAGAGATATACGATTATTTTTAATTTAGGCTATTTTGAGATTGTATTCGACTGTATTTCACCAAACATCAGGCGGCATCCGAAGCTGGAACACGAAGCGAACATTTTGAAACATCATTATATATTTCTTACCCCACCCCCATATGATCCTATATCCATCACCAATCGTATACACATCGAATTGTGCTAATTTACTACAAAGTTACGCAAAGCAGCATCTACTATCTAAAATATGTACTGCGTGACTCTTAATACGTCCCTGCCGAATGTTACAGCGTTCGATGATCACGTGGTCTTGTTTATGTCCGGTCTATCTCTTATCTGAATATACTGTAGGCATGCTTCCGATCAGGTGGTCAATGTCCTCCTGTGGTATCTCATTCCAGGCAACCACCAACTCCTCTCGAAGTGCTTCTAGAGTCTGAGGAGGACGTTGCAAATTGAGCAATCTCCTACCCATCATATCCCACACGTGCTCAATTGGGGATAAGTCGGGAGATCTTGGTGGCCATGGTAACAATGTGACATCACTATGTTGAAAGAAGTCTATTGTGATTCTTGCAACATGTGGTCGGGCATTATCTTGTTGGAAAGTTGGATCTGCCAGGGTGTCAAGATAGGGTAAAAGATGGGGTTCTAGAACTTCGTGGATATAACGCTGCGCGTTCATGTTACCTCTGATGAAGATTAAAGGTGACCTGGAACCATAAGCTATAGCACCCCAAACCATAACTCCAACAGTGTGATGAACATGTCTTTCAACAAAAAACTGTGGATTCCTCCTTTCACCACGTCGCCTTCTAACCCTGGCACGACCATCGTGCATGCCTTAACCATATCGAGACTCATCACTAAAGACAATACTGTTCCATTCCTGATCCCAGAGCGACCGTTGTCTGCACCACTCAAGGCGATTACGTCGGTGTTCTCGAGTTAAAGGGAGGACCCAGTGTGGCCGGTATGAAAACAAGCCAAAACTTCTCATTCGTCGGTAAACACTTCGCATGCCAATAGGTCTTCCGTGTTCTGCAAACCATTCATTTGCAATGGACCTGGTAGAGGAGAAACGGTCCCTTAAGTCCAATAATCTTAGGCGGCGTCCAGTGCCCCTTGCTCTTTGCGTACGGCCTTCTCGAAGCCACGCCTGACAACACCTAATCACAGTGTCTACACTTCTTTGCACTCTAACTGCAATTGCCCGAAAAGAAAGTCCAGCTTCCCGAAGTCCCACTATACGGCCCCTATCAAACTCACTAAGTTGACGAAATCGTACAGGTCTCCGTACTCTAGGCATCGTAACCGATCGTAAAGGATGTCAAGAACTAAAATCCGCCAACGTTGATTCTTTACTGCGGCTGAAATATTCATTTTTAGAGCGTTAGTGAATTAAAAAAAAAGCAGTATAAAAACCTTAATGTCTAACTGATAAGACTGAAAATTTTTTCACTTGTTATTCACTAACTTTTATTAAAATAAAACCATTTAAACTGGGTGTTCGGATTTATATGTCACTTAGTATAGTTGAATATTGAACAAAACGTGTTTGTTGATGTATTTTATCCGAAGTTGTACCAGTAAGTTTTCTGTCTAGAGCGTACCATTTATGAGAAAGTTTTAAAACTGTAATTTTTTTCAGCAACCTCGGTTTTCCTCCTTTATTGTTTGTGGTATATTAAAAACTGTATTATTTTAAAAATAATGCTTCAATAGATACTGTTTCCAGACTGATTCACTGTAAGAGCAGTTCCAAAGCTGCATGCTACAAACGAATTTAAATACCTCTTATAATATCAGCAAGGTGATTCATATAGTAATACAGGAAGTATAGCCACATTGTTTACTTTTTTTGATGTCATACCATTTTTAAAGTGTGAATACAAATTAATAACTGGAATTTGCATAAAGATTACATGATGAATTATTTGTTATTCATCCTGCATTTTCGAATCATCTACGCCTGCTCATATACTAAGTGACATATAAATCCGAACACCCAGTTTAAATGGTTTTATTTTAATAAAAATAATAAGTAAATGATAAAAATTTCAAAATGATTGCACTGCTTTAAAGCCCTTTGACCTTTAATAATGTGTGGATGCACCCTGATGTGCTACGCATTCTCCAACGCGCCTAGGCATGCTTCTGATCAGGTGGTCAATGTCCTCCTGTGGTATCTCATTCCAGGCAACCACCAACTCCTCTCGAAGTGCTTCTAGAGTCTGAGGAGGACGTTGCAAATTGAGCAATCTCCTACCCATCATATCCCATACGTGCTCAATTGGGGATAAGTCGAGAGATCTTGGTGGCCATGGTAACAATGTGACATCATTATGTTGGAAGAAGTCTATTGTGTCTCTTGCAACATGTGGTCGGGTATTATCTTGTTGGAAAGTTGGATCTGCCAGGGTGTCAAGATAGGGTAAAAGTTGGGGTTCTAGAACTTCGTGGATATAACGCTGCGCGTTCATGTTACCTCTGATGAAGATTAAAGGTGACCTGGAACCATAAGCTATAGCACCCCAAACCATAACTCCAACAGTGTGATGAACATGTCTTTCAACAAAAAACTGTGGATTCCTCCTTTCACGACGTCGCCTTCTAACCCTGGCACGACCATCGTGCATGCCTAAACAAAATCGAGACTCGTCACTAAAGACAATACTGTTCCATTCCTGATCCCAGAGTGACCGTTGTCTGCACCACTCAAGGCGATTACGTCGGTGTTCTCGAGTTAAAGGGAGGACCCAGTGTGGCCGGTATGAAAACAAGCCAAAACTTCTCATTCGTAGGTAAACACTTCGCATGCCAATAGGCCTTCCGTGTTCTGCAAACCATTCATTTGCAATGGACCTGGAAGTGGAGAAACGGTCCCTTAAGGCCAATAATCTTAGGCGGCGATCTTCACGGTCTGTTGTTCTACGGCGGCGTCCAGTGCCCCTTGCTCTTTGCGTACGGCCTTCTCGAAGCCATGCCTGACAACACCTAACCACAGTGTCTACACTTCTTTGCACTCTAACTGCAATTGCCCGAAAAGAAAGTCCAGCTTCCCGAAGTCCCACTATACGGCCCCTATCAAACTCACTAAGTTGACGAAATCGTACAGGTCTCCGTACTCTAGGCATCGTAACCGATCGTAAAGGACGTCAAGAACCAAAATCCGCCAACGTTGATTTTTTACTGCGGGTGAAATATTCATTTTTAGAGCGTTAGAGAATTTAAAAAAAAGCAGTATAAAAACCGGAATGTCCAACTGATAAGGCTGAAAAATTTTTCACTTGTTATTTACAGTAAGATAAATACATTCGCCAACTTTTATTAACATAAAACCATTTAAACTGGGTGTTCAGATTTATATGTCACTTAGTATAATTGAGGTTTTGCGTGTGAAAATTTCCAAAAGCTTAATGTGGATCTATAACCTAGAAATTGGCTTGCGTCCTGATAAATCGAGTGCTTAGACTTCGGATTTGACACGAATATGACTCACGGGAGGTCCCAAACGACCCATTTTGTACTCCGAATTCGGCCCTACGGCCTTACGATTTTTTATGATCATATTAGCGTCTGAAATTCCATGATTAGAGAATACCCCATGGTTTCATTGATCATTTAATCACCGGCAAACGAAAGACAAAAAACTGATGTTTCTGTGATCGTTTTCTGAGTAAATCGGGTGCATAGATCCCCAATACGACGTTAATTTAGAGATGGCAATCCAGGAGAGTTATGTTATACGCATTCTGTAAATTAAGTGATGAGACTGGCAACGTAGCGTTCGATCTGGCAACATTGGAGGTGCCGGGCTTGGAGGGGAGACAGGAGAACATGTGATTCGCCTCCAGTACAAGTTTGAACTCGCTCGAGTGATTTTGTCCGTAGCAATTTTTTTGAAACAGTTTTTTCTATGGGGTTGTCCAAAACGGACGCAGGAAAGTAAACGCATATTAAAACAAGAAAGATTGATATTCAAATCAAGTTGGGTACTTTATTTTGAAGGTTCATTTATACCATTTATGTATGAAAAATAATATCGCTCAAATGTTCACCACGACTGGATTTACAGACGTCCACGCGATTGTCGAAATTTTCAATGACATTTTGCAACATGGTCGGTTCTATGGCATTTATCTCGGCAATGATGTTGTTTTTGAGTTCTTGGAGGGTGGTTGGTTTGTTGACGTAGACTTTGCTTTTCAAATATCCCCATAAAAAGAAGTCCAAGAGAGTCAAATCGCACGATCTTGGTGGCCATGGCACATTTCCTCTGCGCGAAATCACGCGATCACCGAAGAAGGACTGCAATCGGTGGATATTGACGTTGGTTGTGTGGCATGTTGCACCGTCCATATCCAGTCCTTCAAGTTGCGGCAAAAAATAGTCCTCTATCATCACGTGATATCGCTCAGAATTGACGGTAACGGCGTCCCCGGCCGCATTTTCTAAAAAGTAAGGTCCGATGATGCCTTTTGACCACAATGCACACCACACAGTCACTTTTTGAGGATGCATCGGCTGCTCTTGATACTAACGGGGATTTTCGTTCGCCCAGATGCGGCAGTTTTGCTTGTTTACCGTCCCATTCAAAGTGAAATGCGCTTCGTCGCTGAACATGATTTTTGATGAAAAGTTGGCATCAATTTGGCGGTGTTCAAGGAGCCAATCTGAGAACGTTCGGCGCGAAAAATGGTCGGCCCGACGCAGCTCTTGCGTCAATTGGATCTTGTATTATGTTCTAAAAATGAGTGACTACTTACATCTTTCAAGGAACGGAGTGCTATCAGGTTTTGGTTTAGACTTGGTTACAGTGCAACGGAAATTCTAGCTAAACTTCAGCGGGCCTTCGAAAGATAGTGTTTTATCAAGAGCCCAGGGGTTTCGGTGGTTTGAGGCATTTTCAGAAGGAAATGAATTGGAAGGCCTTCATCTTCAAGAACCGATGAAAATATCTATAGAATCCAACATCGTCGGTTGATAGTCAGAATTAAATTTGAGTTTTAAGTTAAATTTGACTCACACCACCGTTCATCAGATCAAGAACAACTCGGTATTGCATCACGATAATGCTCCTTGTCACACAGCAATGTCAATGAACGAGTTTTTGACTAGTAAAAACATTTCTTTGGCTCCTTAGCCTCCTAATTTGCCTCTTCTGAGTCGTTGGGACTTTTTTCTCTTCCCGAAGTTGAAAAATCACCTCAAGGGACTCATTTTGGAACAGTCCAAAACATTCAAATCATCTGAAGGCGATTCCAGTATCGGAGTTCCAACACTGTTATAACGGGTGAAAGAACAACAACAATATAAAATTGTAATTATATTTGAATAAATAAAATTAAAAAATATCATTCTCATCACTTAATTTTATTTAAGAAAAGTATCAGAGGTCCCAATGGGCCACAGATGCACTCATCTTCCTTTCGTTGAACCCCCAATTATAAGGTGTTCAAGAAAAATATGCATCCTAATCCTTTTCTAGGCAAATCCACCTCAATTCGATAGAGCCGAAGACCTCGCTTCACTCCGACATCTTAATGAATCGAGTATCCTGCACACGTTACGTCAGCGTTACGCGTCGAACCTCATTCATACCTACGCTGGATCCGGCACCCTGTTGGTCATAAATCCGATGGCGCCACTGGCCATATACTCGGAAAAGGTGAGTTTACATTGTTTGTTTGTTAGGTATCATTTCGAATTTCTTAACATTTTCGTAGACTAGTAAAGGTGGTTCCAATGGGTTTTTGCAGATTTAAATTTGGATACATTTTTGAACCACTTGAATTAGACCTTTTACGTTGCGCATTTAGTCATCTAGGGTACCGGAAATTTAATTGTGAATCGCTTTACAATGGAGCATCAGAATTATGCAAACGTACTCATTTTTTCATGAAAATTATAATTGTTTCATAACGAATCAGTCATGTAGACATAAGCATAATTACCGGGGCACCGCGGTTGCTTGAAGACACTATGCAAATCCCATTTTTGAAAAACAACGAACCTTACAAAATAAACAGATCAATATAATTGTGTTCGCATACTCTAAGTGTATGTGACTTCGAAGTTGAGTCATTTATTTTAACAGTGAGTAGATCTGATCAAACGAAATGTTTTTTTCCTTTACCATTTTTCTGGTAAAATTAAAGTAACAAAGTTATAGCCCTTTGGAAGTTTGAGTACCGCCCTGTCTCAATAATAATATTATGTGCTCGTGTTTGGCAACAACAGATATAATCCGCCTTATCGGTTCATCGCATCGGAAACAAAAAAGCGAAAGAATTTGGAACGATGTTTTTACAATTATTTTATTCAGTTGTATGCAGTCAGTGTCAGTCGGTAACGCGTGAGTGAATAGTGGTGTCTGTTGCGTGGCTCAAACGAAATCAAAAATGGCACATGTTTACGAAAATGCTGAACTTGTGGACATGATTCTTATTTACGCGGCACCACGGATTTATGCGGATCGGTTTCCCAATCGAGTGCAACCAACCCCTCGTGCCTTTGTTAATGTAGTACAACGGGCTCGTGAATCAGGTGACTTAAGACCTCACAGGGGACCTCACGATCAAATACAGGTCCGCACTGAAATACTTGTCGGGAGGATACTTTATAAAACAAGGTAACATTTTTTTTTTATTTTTACACACATATTTTGGTTTATCTTCCTTCTACAATCATTATCTGAAAATTAATGACTCAACTTCAAAGTCACCCTGTATAAATAGAATACTGGCGATATTAAGTAATGGATGTTCTATTAGAACACGATATTGAAAATAAGTATCTGGGCAATTGGTCATCAGTGCCAATAACAGAATATAAAAAATGTCTATAGTTAATAGAACTATAAAAGCTTCCTCAGGCTGATAGTTCTACAATTTCGACGCCCTAGAGACAAAGAAGAGGCTCACTGCTGACAGTTTTGCCAGGCATGTAAGGAAGGGCAAGTGGGTTGACATTCAAACAGTAGTGAGACGGATGATTTTGAGCAAGGTACATGATAAAAATATATCAAGCAACCAGTAATCGGTTTCTATGGCTTTTATACAGGGTGTCCCAGAAGTCGACGTCAAGCCGAAACCGGGTGATAGGCAAAGTCATAACAGCTATCAGAAAAATATTTAAAAAAATTGTATGCATGTGTTTTGAAAATTATAGGTCTTTGAAAAAAATATAGAAATTTCACATCCTACGGCAGTCTGTCAACTCCTGTTACTACAAATATTAACTTTTTTTGGATTTTATTTTTACAATGTAATGATGAATAATGCATCTTCAAACTGGTGTCTCAACCTAACTGCCAACTTTTCTCGTTCAGGAAAAATTGCCACTTATTTCCCAACCAAGTATTCCAAAAAAACTTTGCTCAACTTTAACTGGCTGTACTGGAAAAAAATGTACTACGAGAGTTTAGCAAGTAACCTTAAAAGTTGGAGCATTTAATAAGGATTCCAAAATGGTATAACACCTAGAAGATTACTCGTTAACTTATGCACAATTTTTATTTGAAGAAAAACTGATGAAAATTTTTCAAAATTTCCTAATTAAACAGCGATTATGAAAACGCACAAGGACCCTTAAGGATAACTGTTTGCACAACAGTGGGTGTCAAAATGCTGCTGATGATGATTTACCTTTACAGCAAATGCTCAAACTGTTTTCCTTCAGCCGCAATACACGCTCGACATCTTCTTAAAAAAGATCGGGTTATTAAACGAGCGAATCCACGGTTATTAACAAACTCAGCTGCTTCCAATAGTCTTTGCCGTAGCTCAGCTACATTTTGAATCGGCTTGAAATACACTTTTTCTTTTACAGTTCCCCAGTAAAAAAAATCTAACGGATTCAAATCTGGTGACCGGGCTGGCCACGGTATTGTACCAGACCGCCCTATCCATCAGCCTGGAAAGTTTTGATCGAGATACTCTCTCACTGAGAGTGCATAGTGCGCTGGACAGCCATCATGCTGAAACCACATGTCCCTGTAAATACTCAGTGGCACGTCCTACAATAAATTTTCTAAATGATTTTGCAAAAAACCTAAACAAACCTCAGCAGTCAAAGTCTCTGGGAACTCAAACGGACCGATTATTTTACCATTTAAAATTCCTGTCCAATGGTTTATCTTGAAGCAATATTGAGATTTATCTTCTCTCATCAAATGTGGCTTTGCTACGTGCCACTCGTGTAAGTTATGCAGGTTTATGTACCCATCTTTCTTAAATGTGGTCTCATCTGACCATAACATTTTTTCAAAGAACCGTGGATCTTCCCTGTGTCTTTCTAACATTGTGCGACAAAAAGCAACTCGGGTCTCATAATCCCGGGACAGAAGAGCTTGAACACGCTGTACGTGGTATGGATGGAGCACGTTTTTTTGCAAGATTCTATGGGCTGTACTTTTGGGCACACCTGTTTTTAGTTCTATTGCACGCACTGAAGTACTCGGGTCTTCTTCGACAGCTCCTAGCACCACGTCTTCGTAAGGAAGGAAAGATCTTCCCTCACCGTGTAATTGGTTTGGTAGTTGGCTCTCTGAGAACAGTAAGCGGTGCACATTTGTGAACACTCGATGATCTGGATGACGAGCTGCATTCGGGTACCTGTCACAGTAAAGTCTCGCTGCAGCACTAGCGTTGCATCTGCATTCTCCATAAATGTGGTGCATGTTAGCATATTCTTGTACGGTGTACACGGACATAGCGGCACTGCACAATCACACTATCAAAGATAGTCTAAGGAAAGCAAATGTTGTTTTGAAGAGCAATTATTAAACAGTCCAAATCCAAATCACAAGCGATCAACAGTCCAGTTCACGAATCCAAAATTAGTCACAGTACGAAATCAACAAGCACGAACATGTGAAGATGCGCAGTAAACGAAGGAGTACTGATCGGTATCAAAGTGTGCAATAGCAAGTAAGTGATGTGCTTCATCCATACCACATACAGCGTGTTTAACCTCTCCTGCCCCGGCATTATGAGCCCCGAGTTGCTTTTTGTCGAACAATGTTAGAAAGACACAGGAAAGATCCACGGTTCTTTGAAAAAATTTTATGGTCAGATGAGACCACATTTAAGAAAGATGAACTTGCATAACTTACACAAGTGGCACGTAGCAAAGCCACATTTGATGAGAGAAGATAAATCTCAATATCGCTCCAAGATTAACCATTGGACAGGAATTTTAAATGGTAAAATAATCGGTCCGTTTGAGTTCCCAGAGACTTTGACTGCTGAAGTTTATTTGGATTTATTGAAAAATCATGTACAAAATTTATTGGTGGACGTGCCACTGAGTATTTACAGGGACATGTGGTTTCAGCATGATGGCTGCCCAGCGCACTATGCACTCTCAGTGAGAGAGTATCTCGATCAACACTTTCCAGGCAGATGGATAGGGCGGTCTGGTACAATACCGTGGTCAGCCCGATCACCTGATTTGAATCCTTTAGATTTTTTTTACTGGGGAACTGTAAAAGAAAAAGTGTATTTCAAGCCGATTCTAAATGTAGCTGAGCTACGGCAAAGACTATTGGAAGCAGCTGAGTTTGTTAATAACCGTGGATTCGCTCGTTTAATAACCCGATATTTTTTAAGAAGATGTCGAGCGTGTATTGCGGCTGAAGGAAAACCGTTTGAGCATTTGCTGTAAAGGTAAATCATCATCAGTAGCATTTTGACGCCCACTGTTGTGCAAACAGTTATCCTTAAGGGTCCTTGTGCGTTTTCATAATCGCTGTTTAATTAGGAAATTTTGAAAGATTTTCATCAGTTTTTTTTCAAATAAAAATTGTGCATAAGTTAACGAGTAATCTTCTAAGGGTTATACCATTTTGGAATCGTTATTAAATGCTCCAACTTTTAAGGTTACTTGCCAAACTCTCGTAGTACATTTTTTTCCAGTACAGCCAGTTAAAGTTGAGCAAAGTTTTACTTTGGAATACTTGGTTGGGAAATAAGTGGCAATTTTTCCTGAACGAGAAAAGTTGGCAGTAAGGTTGAGACACCAGTTTGAAGATGCATTATTCATCATTACATTGTAAAAATTAAATCCAAAAAAAGTTAATATTTGTAGTAACAGGAGTTGACAGACTGCCGTAGGGTGTGAAATTTCTATATCTTTTTCAAAGACCTATAATTTTCAAAACACATACGTAACATTTTTTAAAATATTTTTCTGATAGCTGTTATAACTTTGCCTATTACCCGGTTTCGACTTCTGGGAAACCCTGTATATCCATAAGTGCGAATGAACATGTACGACGGTGAGAATAGGATCACCCACCATGATGAAATGCTGCAGATGGATTTTAGGAGTATATCCTATTCTTGAGAATCTCATACGTCTGGCAGAAAAGGGCAGTGCTGTCGACCTTTTTTACGTGATAGTGACTATAATGTCTTTCCCCTATAAAAAACTGCTTCTAGTTTTTTGCGGGGATGCTCATGGATAAAATCAATTCAAACAGTCCCCACACGATTACTAACCTGAAGCGACACGTTTGCCAAGATTCTGATAAAATTGTGACAAAATTGTGGTGACAGGTTACTGAAAATTCTAGTCTATGAATAATCATCTGTAGAAACAGCTGACATAACTCCCATACTTCTACATTCTGATAATATAAACAAGCATGATATTATTCAGAAGCTGTTGGCTTTGTTTAAAAAAATCTGAAGTTTACCTTTTTGCTGTTTCTTTCCATTTTTCTTTTCAATTATTCTGTCTCGCAACCTGACTTTCCTCGATTGCCCTGGCACACAAAAACGGTCTGATTTATCGAAATAATCGTCATACAGCGCAAAGTACCATCTAAACTGGTGGACAGTTGCTTTGCAACGTGGATAGTTTTACCCAAATTCAAATCTCGATATTTTTTTAATGGAAAGAAATATCGAGTTGCGGTCCTCGGGAGGTTCTTAATCAACTTTTTGAGTGGCGTAACACCAAAAGCATTTTTTGGTTTGGTTAGAAGTGCTAATAACCAACCAAAATTTCATTTTTCAAAATGCTATAATGCGGGCCAACACTGCTATTCTTTTTTATTTGGAATTTTTAATCTTTCTCATTCAGCACTGGCGTACGCGTCTTCATTGGAGATGTTTTCCAATAGGTAATAGATTGTATTAAATTTTCAAATATCAAATAATTTATTGATTAACATTAACAATATGTAACATTTTAGAAAAAAAATTTGAAGACCAGTTAAATATTTAAATTATTTATTTATGACAAAGACAAACTTTTAACAAAACAGCAACAGTTATTTTAAACAATTGTTAGTACCTTGTTGGGTCACTCCGCACATGGATCAAAGCCTGGCATCTTCGTGGCATACTATCCAGAAGGTTATTAATAAATTCTCGGGATACTTTTTCCCACTCTTCCTGAATGGCCTCATACAGCTCTTTCATTGTTTGAGGAGCATTTTGAAAAATAAATATTTTCAAGTTGTTATTATTACGTACTCCTTACCAAACCAAAAAATGAGTTTGGTGTTACGCCACTGAAATACACATCTATATTAAGAGTAGTAACTTGGATTTGTTGATTAAGCTGTTTTTTTGGTGAGGGGGGAATGCATTTACGCACCATACCATAGCCCGAGCTACGGCGTGTGTGGGACTCCAGGGTCTTGAGGAGACCACCTAATACCCACTAAACCCTAAACCTCCGCGTGGCCCGACTCATCAGCGTCTCGGTAGGCCATGTGTTGTGCGTGACCTGTGGTCTGCTACAACGTCTCCTCATGTGTTTCAGTCTCTGGGAACGCCGGGTTGGTTTCCTTTACCTCGCACATTCTATCGATGTCGTTAAGCGATCATCGATAGTGGGTCTGCTAGGTTCTCTTGAAACTCTTGTTTTCGAAAAATCAAGAGTTTCTAGTCCTCTTACCAATATGTTGTTCCTGGTCCTGGTCCTGAAGGGTCCTGGTCCTGGTGGGTCCTGGTCGTGGCGGGTCCTGGTCCTGGTCCCGGTGGGTCCTGGTCCCGGTGGTTCCTGGTCCCGGTGGTTCCTGGTCCCGGTGGTTCCTGGTCCTCTGCATCCACGCCGGGGGGGGGGGGGGGAGCAACCGCGGGTTCTCCTAGTCAAGGTTCCAGTTAGCGGGTGCCAACTGGGACCTTGGTCTAGGGTACCTGGTTCTGCGGTTGCGAGGCCTCTCGTCCGGATCGTAGTCCATGAGGAATCGTAGCTACTCGTTCGGGTGGTCCTGAGCTTTCTCGAAGGTCTTCTCCGCTTTTTTCCTCATGTACTCGTGGATGGTGTCCCAATGCAGGTCTCTACGCAAGGTTGAGTTTCTTACGTAGGATGGTGCACTGGTGGCGATCCGGAGTAGCTTCATCTCTAGAGCAGCAAGTCGCTTGCGGTAGCTGGGGGCAGCGTACCCCCAGACCGCGGAGGCGTAAGCGAGCTGAGGTGTGGCGATGGCCTTGATCAGCCGTAGCTTGGTCGCTAGCGGCATCCGGCTGTGTCTACCCAGTAATGGGTAGAGTTGAGCCATGGCTGCTCTGGTCTTTGCGATGACAGCTTCTATGTGGGCTTTCCAGGACTTGTCAAATACGATCCCCAGATATTTGACTTTGTCGCTCCACTGGATATCTTCGTCGAAGATGGATGCTTCGAGAGGTCTTGCAATCCTTCTTCGTTGAATGAAGATTGCCTGCGTCTTCTGGACGTTGATGCGGATTTTCCATTTCACGCACCAGTCCTGGATGTGGTCCAGTTCATCCTGTAGTCTCCTACGGATGATCTCGGGTCGTCTATGCTTGGCGGCTATAGCAGTGTCGTCTGCATATAGGGCCAGCATTGTGTCAGCTGTCTTCGGTACATCGTGAGTATAGATGTTGTAGAGCAGGGGGGCGAAGGCTGACCCCTGGGGCACGCCTGCTTCCAGCTGTCGTCTTGTTGAATGGCATGTACCAATCTTCACCGTGAACCATCTTTGTGTTAGATAGCTCTGGATCAGTTGGCACATGTTCGCATCGATTCCGGCGGCTTCCATTTTGGCGATGAGTCCATCGTGCCAAACTCGATCGAAGGCTCGTTCCACGTCCAGCAGGACGAGACCGGTTGCCTCCTGGAGATTGAAGCCGCTGGTGATGTTATCCGTCAGTCGTAGCGCTTGGAGTTCCGTGTTGTGGGAGGATCTGAAGCCGAATTGCTCTGGGGGGAGAAGTTGCAGTTCTTCTGCCTGCTTCTCTAGTCGAACGGCGATAGCCTTTTCGACTACTTTGCCCATCGAGGAAACCAGGCTGATGGGCCGGTAGTTCTGGGGCAACTTCCGGTCCTTGCCTGGCTTGGTGAGCATTATAACCTGGGCTTCCCGCCACCGCTGCGGGAAGTGGTTAAGTCTCAGAGTGGCATTGGCGATGTTGGTGAGCGCAGCAATGCCTTTGGTGGGAAGGTTCTTCAGCATCCTATTGTTGATGCCGTCCCTTCCCGGCGCCTTTCTGACCTTCAACCTGCGGATGATCAGACGGATTTCCTCTGGACTGGAGGGGTGATCCGTCTCCTGGCCAGTTGGTCGACTCCTCATGATTTCGGCTGCGACTTCCACGGCCTCCTCGTGGTTGTCGTCCTCATCTTCATGGTAATTGAGTCTGCATTCGGATTCAAGCGAATCGGCGAATGCTTCGGCTTTTTCTTCACTGGAGTAGGCCAAGCCGCGTTGGCCGTGAAGAGTGGGGATCGTGGTGCGCTGACGACGAAATTTTCGCTGCATAGTCCAGGCCGTACCATCCTGGGTCTCTAGTTCTGCACAGGCTGCATTCCATCTGCTGTTTTGGAGTTCCGCGAGTGCGTTCTTCAGCTGTTTAAGCTGTTTAATTGCTGAGTAAAATTTATAAATTCGGGTTAAATTACATAATGTCAAAGTTGCAAATTTTTAATGCACGTGACTGGAGGTACTAACGTTCAATGAGTGCTTCAATCTTTTCTCGAGCGCAAGAAATTCCTCTTTTTGCAACAGTATGAGAGAAAATACCAATCTCAAGAGAAATTCCAAAGAGCTCCCTTTGTTATGGATAAATGTCACGCTTTTGAAAAATTAGAGAAATAACTTTTTTTAGGATATTCCAAAGATCAAAAAGATGCATAGAAAAATTTTCAAGATCAACAACTGAGAATCTGACCGCCCGAAACTTTGATAAAAAAACTTTGCTCACCCTGTATAAGTAGCTAATAGAAGGAATATACCCTGTACGTGTTCTCAAAGAGTTAGTCAAGAACGTCCCGAAGACCGCAACTCGATATCTCTTTCCGTTCCGAAAATATCGAGATTTAAATTTGGGTAAAATGGTCCATGCTGCAAAGCAACTGTCAACCAGTTTATCACCAGAATCGACCACTGTAATAGCGTATAACAGTGAAGATCTCAGTTCGCGTTTGTTAGCCCAGTTACCACTGACCGCTAGAGGCTGACGATTCTGGCGATATAGTACTAAACATGTTGCTTACGTGCTGCCTTCGTCCGGCTGACAACAGACAGTCTACCTGGATAGCTGTTTCATGCTTTTAGCCAACTCATCAGCATGGCCTAGGCATGGTCTCTGGGACAACGAACGGACGCCTAGCAACTATACTTGTTTAAATTCTAAGCTTTTTTAAAAACTGTCATGAAAAATTAGATAGAAAACGATTCAACAGAGTACGTTTGCAGGTGGTGTCTCTTTTCAAAGGCTGCAAGTCAGAAGACATGCCACCCCACATCTACTCGATGGCCCAAGCGTCCTATCACAGCATGGTATCAACGAGAAGAGACCAAAGTTTAGTGTTTATTGGCAGATCTGGGTCCGGTAAAACGACGAATTTCAGGCACTGCGTCCAGTATTTGGTTACAGCTGCTGGGGCTAACAACAAGGTGCTAACACCGGAGAAGTTGACTGCTCTTTGGTTTCTTTTGGAAAGTTTTGGTGAGTATTTCGATGTCAGCAATACAGATTTTAAAATTAATGTAATTTACACTACGCAGTCAAGCTAATTCATATCTTATCTTAGACTAATTCTTTACGGTCTTCCATTCCAACTATTTTCCATTTCATGTTCAAAATCGGTACAGACAAATTTTTTAGTGTCTGTCATAGTGTAGAATCTGGGTGTATATCTCAAATAAATAAAAAAAAAATGATTAACAAGAAGACAAGTTCCTATCTAAAACGTCCTAAGGCGCCAAGTTATCTAAGCAGAACTAATATCCTCTCTGAAAGTAATTTAGCTCTTCAGGGAATCGATTTATAACATTTTGATATGAATATGTCACCTTTTTTTTTATTCTGTGTAAATCTTTGAGATTGATCAGAGTTTCTGGGACCTTCTAGAGAGATCTGAGAAGGATACTTGATAAAATTTGATATTGTAGAGAATCTGTCACAGCTGTTTCTCTATTTACTTTATTTATGCTTTGAAAAGGAGGGTGAGAAGATACAAGCAAAAATAGAGCCCCTACGCCATTTGTAAGACACTAATCTTTTCAATTTGTCATATTAGCGGAAACGTATTAAAAACTAAAATGTATTTCTTATATCATACGATATTTTTATATAATATTAAATACACATTTTTTTGTAACAAAGAAAAAATATCTTGACATGGTGTCAACTAATGTTTGGCAGTCATCTGGTGAAACATTTTTGGAGAGGGGTTCGCAATTCTGGAACGGTTTTTGCGGGATTCAGTTGGAGGTTTTTCTTCATGATACGACGTCCATTTTAACACTTTAACTGTCCATGAATCATATGTGATTCATTAGACCTGTTTGTCTACACGCCCTTGAATCATATATGATGCATTGTACTTGCTTTGCCTTATGATAAGTTAAAAATTGGACGTTATATTTAAGCAGCTGTTTATAGCATGGACGTATTAAGAAGATATTGAGTTTGAAATTTTTTTTTCCAGGGCGCATCATACCGGGTGCGCCAGAGAAACTTACTTATTTGAAAAAATTCCCGCGCGGTGAGCTGGGCGGGTAGAGGGGCGAGAGGCGGCGCATCTGGAGGGGGAAGTTCCCAAGTTTATTTCTCGCTCCAGTCAGTTGCCATCATGCTCTGGTCTAGAGAACAGCGGGCCTTCGCAGTCGAGAGCTTCTTTTCTAACGGTCGCTCAGTTGTTGCTACGCAACGTGCCTTTCGCGCTCGCTTTGAAATTCCTCCTCACAGACTCGTTCCTGGCCGTAATTCGATTCTGTCGTGGGTTGACTCATTTCGGGAGTGTGGAAGTGTCGCTAAACCCAGAAATAGACTTCAACGGACCATCAGAACTCCGGAAAATGTCGAAAGAGTGAGGCAGTCAGTTGTGCGTTCTCCCCGGCGTTCGGCTCGCAAACACGCAGCTGCTATGGGAATTTCTGACACTACTGTTCGACGAATTCTCCATGAAGACCTCCATTTTCATCCCTATAAATTGGCTGTTGTTCAAGAATTAACTGAAAGCGATTTTGTTGCCCGTCAAAATGCATGTGAAATGCTGGTTGACAACCTGCCTGAAGACGCGGTCGTTTTTTTCAGTGACGAGGCTCACTTCCACATTTCCGGCTGCGTCAACAAGCAAAACACGAGACTCGAAGAAATGAACGTTAGGAACGTGTGGTTTCAGCAAGATGGAGCCACAGCACACACCGCACGAGACTCGATGAATTTGTTGCGACAACATTTCCCCGACCGCCTCATCTCTCTCAGAGGCGATCTCCAATGGCCGGCACGATCTCCAGATTTGACTCCCTGCGATTTCTTTTTATGGGGTTATTTGAAATCTCTGGTTTATGTCGATCGACCATGGACCATAGCACACCTCAAGAACAACATTCGCGACGCCATTGCCAACATACCGATTGATATGCTGCAAAGAGTGGATACGAATTTCAAAAATCGACTTCATCAGTGTATGCGCAATGGAGGTCGCCATTTATCCGATGTCATTTTCAAGACTACATGAAAAAAAAATTGGGATATTGTATTCTCGAATAAAAAAAAAATAAAACAATAATTGAAGTAAAATTTTGTTTTTATTGACCTTTCAAATAAGTAAGTTTCTCTGGCGCACCCTGTAGTTATCAGCACTCATAATATACCTTCCACAAAGTTTCCCACTCCACTTGCTGACATGGATCTCGAAATCATAACAGAGGCAGGATAGTTAACTTTTTTTTAAGACAATAATTCTGAAACACTTCTTTAGTTCTTGTGGCACGACTCCTACTATCACCAACTCATACTTCAAATCTGGCTTCAGCACTCCGAATAATGAAGTTCCATTGGTTCGGAGACCATAATTTGTGTTTCTTGGCTCACGCCTAGTCTGTTTTTCTTCTAAATCTTTGTCAGTAAGGGCCTCTCTTTTGCCTAGAAGTAATGAATTAGAAACGAAACATTATTTGAGTATACCTTGTAAGTTTTAATTCTCAGTTTTTCGGCAGCCCTGTGACAAGTTGCTCTTGAAAATTTGTGTGTGGTTGCCTGATTCGATAATATTTTCAATTCGTTATAATTAGCATGCCAATTGCCTTGATAATCCGTTTTAAGGATCTTAAATTTTTATTGGAATGACTTCCATTTCTGGGTTTTTCAGCCACAGATCCCGTTTCTTTATACAATTTAATATTTCGGACTGTATACTTCGATTTGTTAACACTGTCAGCGATTTGGAGTGCATTTTGGCCTTTTAATTGCAAGTGAATGGTCACTTTTCTTATTTTGTCAGAAACAGCTTACCCACAAGCCATTTTTAATTGTTAACAACAACAATATTGCATTGAAAGTTGATTTAAACGTCAAGAATCAGCATTTGTTTTTATCGGAGCGAATAAACAGACCATTCAGCTTAAGTTGTCTCGCATCAGCTATTTTGCTATACACAAATCATTCTGCAGAGGAAATAAAAACGCTTTAAAAATAATAATAAAAATATCTTTCCATAAACCTTTAAAGAAACCAAATATATTATATTTGAAATAAAATTTTAATTATCCCTCAAATAAATTAATGAAAAAACTTGTTTTGGGGCGTTGGGCCATCTTCACTGAGATAGGACTCGTATACAGGGTGACTTCGAAGTTGAGTCATTTATTTTAACAGTGAGTAGATCTGATCAAGAGAAATGTTTTTTTCCTTTAACATTTTTCTGGTAAAATTAAAGTAACAAAGTTATAGCCCTTTAGAAGTTTGAGTACCGCCCTGTCTCAATAATAATATTATGTGCTGGTGTTTCGCAACAACGGATATAATCCGCCTTATCCGTTCATCGCATCGGAAACAAAAAAGCGAAAGAATTTGAAACGATGTTTTTACTACAATGTACAATTTTATTCAGTTGTATTCATCGATGTGTCAGTCGGTAACGCGTGAGTGAATAAAAAATGGCACATGTTTACGAAAATGCTGAATGTAGTACAAATGGCTCGTGAATCAGGTGACTTAAGACCTCACAGGGGAGGGCATGCCGGTGCTCCAAGACCGCCCGATCAAATACAGGTCCGCACTGAAATACTTTTTTTTTATTTTTACACACATATTTTGGTTTATCTTCCTACAATCATTATCTGAAAATTAATGACTCAACTTCAAAGTAAATAGAGAAACACATGACAAATTTTCAGAGATGACGCTACGGTATCTCAATTCGTCTGGTATTATTTTTTGGACGCGAGAATATAGTATTAGGTTGGCTATCTACAGGTACAATACCTTGATCAATGATCGAACCAACGTTCTTAATGTTTTTTAGGTAATTGCAAGACTGTGATGAACACAAACGGTACACGGTTTACTCAGATCTTTAGCTTGGATTTCGATCAAGCTGGAGTCATTGCCTCGGCGAGTTTGCAAATATTTATGTTGGAAAAGACGAGAGCTGTTAGAAAAATCGATGGGGAAACTACGTTTCATATGATGTACAGGTAAGTTGGCCACCACCTTCTTAAACGGCCCTGGTAGCCCATTTTCTATCCCTCCTACGTCCATACGACACTATGCTCTTTTTCATGATCATATTCAGACTTATCGTCCCAGATTACCCCGGTGTTTAGTTTGGTTTCGTTCACTTGTAAGCACTGTGGATGAAATTGAAAATCTTACCTAGGGAAACCTCAAGGTTCGAATGAGGGAAATATCGAAAAATTCTTGCAATCCAGAAGGAAACTGATTCTCTGGGTAAATTGGATTCGCAGCCAGACACCAAAAGATCCGTTTTTCTACTCTACAGCATTTTAAATTACTCCCGGCTCCCAACTTTCGTTAATTTGTAAGCTCGAGGGACGAAAATGGAAAATTTTGGGACGTGAGTTTAAAATTTAAATGCATACTATTGAAGAAAATTCAAAAATTCTTGCCCACAAGAAAAAAGATATTCAACGCAAAGCCCTACATTTATAATAATAATAATAATAATAATAATAATAATAATAATAATAATAATAATAATAATAATAATAATAATGTCTGGCCGGTAAGGGCACTGCTACCAGCAGTGTCAGACCCGCTACCGCAATAACACCAAGGATAGACGGTACAGCCAGCAATCCTTCTTGAGCATCAGTTGGTTTTTGTTTCCCTTCCGCTGGCGCTGAGCGATATCTATGCGCTGAATGTGCATTCCGACTCTTAGAGTTTAAAAAAAAAGGGATACAACGCACCCATAATAATTATGGAGAACAACTTTAATTTAGCCTCGGAAGAACGTAACAGCGTTAACGAGACCACAAGCCCCAGCGGTAGTGGTGTCGCGCTCGGCAGGGGTGAGGTTGCAACCCCGGTTGTAGCCTCGGAGGTAACCCAGGTCGTCATCATGCGAAATCCTCCAAATACATGGGATCGACATTATAGGTCCACCGATGAAGATGAACATCCTGTGGAATTAACAGACGAGGTCACACAGATTTGCCGTTTGCACACCGGCACCCGGAATGCTGCGGCCAATAAACGTAGCGGTCAACGTATAAAATGGACTAGAGAGCTAAACATTTCTGTAATGAAAGCATTTTATCTCGTTAATGACTGCAAAGACCTACCACAAACAGGTTGGAGACGTAAGCTCCACACAGAGTTTTCAAAGATTCACCCGGAACTTGGATTAACTGAGCAAAATATCGTTGATAGAAAAAGGACTATTGTGAAAAACGGTTATCTAACCCAGACCGAAACGGATGAATTGAAACGTGAAGTTGGTAGAGCGATATCCCAAAATGCCATAAACGATGAAGTAGCCCCTACACGTTTGTCAGTTCAGGATCAACCGCATATCGAACCTGAATGCGTAACTAGCCAAAAGCAAAAAGAGCTGAATGATCTTTTTCTAAGCACCTTAAGCTTCTACCGATTTAGCGACCCCACAAAAAGGCCTAGGCTCCCAAAGCTTCTACTAAATGCAAAATCCAATCAAATAATACATCAGATGGACGAAATTCTTTTACGCCACCTAGAACACTGTGATGACTTAGAAGAAGTACATCTATCTATCTATGCGGCAGCTGCTACTGTGGTGAACGTGAATGGTCAAAAGTTACTACCACCTAATGACGCGCCTCTTAAAAAGACATCGAAACGTAGTGAGGAGCCATGGAAACTAAGACTCATGAAAGATATTGACTCATGTAGAGCTGAGGCGGATCTCATTTCAGAATACCAAGGAGGCAATAGGTCCCGAAAGGTGATCAAGAAAATTGCAGATATTAAACGGAAAATTAACGTACCCCCCAGCTGCGATATCGATAGCTCATTTTTAAACCTGCATAGAGATAAAATGAGACAAGAAGCCAAAATGAAAGGTGCCCGGCTCCAAAGATATAATGAGACCAGCAAGAGAAAGCAGCAAAATGCTTTGTTCGAGAGAAACCAAAACCAGTTCTACAGATCTATCATCTCAGAATCATCTTCGGAACCCAAAGGCATTAGAGATACGCAAAATTTTGTTAAATTTTGGAGTGATATTTGGTCCGAACCAAAGCCATCAGACCTTAATGCGCCTTGGATCAAAGAGGTAGTGAAGGCAGCTAAGGTAAACCCAATGAGCGTTGCAATATTCTCTCAAGATGACGTAAGTAGAGTGCTAAAAAATGCTGCTGATTGGAAAGCGCCGGGACCCGACAATATTCAGAACTTTTGGCTCAAGAAGTTCCTAAGCACACATGCTGCATTGGGTCGATCAGTTTCTAAAGCAATCACCAACCCGGAGATATTACCTAACTTCTTGACGAAAGGAATAACACATCTTATATTTAAAAACGGCAATCCTGAGGATCCGAAAAACTATAGACCAATTACATGTCTCTCTGTGTTTTATAAACTACTAACAGCACTTTTGAATGACCAAATATATACTCACTGTGAAAGCAACAATATCATTGCTACAGAACAGAAGGGGTGTGTCCGTGGTTCTTTCGGATGCAAAGAGCAACTTATAATTGATTCCGTTATTACGAAGCATGCGTGTAAAAATAAGAGAAATCTCCATGTCTGCTACATCGACTACTCTAAGGCGTTTGATTCCGTGCCACATAATTGGCTTTTAAAGGTGCTGGATATATATAAAGTAGACATCCGCATCATAAACCTATTGTCTCATCTGATGATGAACTGGGGAACCTCTTTAAGAGTTAATTCGGAGGACATAGGAGACGTGCGCATACGCAGAGGCATATTTCAGGGTGATTCTCTCAGCCCGATGTGGTTCTGTCTAGCCCTGAACCCACTGTCATCACTGCTGAATAATTCCAAGTTCGGGTATAGGCTCGATGTGAGTGAGCCTACCAGATTCAACCATCTGCTATACATGGATGACCTCAAACTATACGCCGAGTCAAGGCAACATCTTGCTTCTCTAGTGCGAACGACAAGTATATTCAGCAATGATATAGGAATGAAATTTGGGTTAGATAAGTGCGCCACTGTCACTATAAGGAAAGGTAACCTAACTCTTTTGGAAGAAAATTTAGAAAACATCGCGCCTCTAGCAGAAGACCAACCGTATAAGTACCTGGGGATGCACCAAAGTAGGGGTGTGTGTCATTCTACCATGAAGTCAATCTATAGAGAAAAGTACATCCGTCGGCTTACAAAACTACTTAACACCAAATTAAACTCGCAGAATCTTTTCAAAGCAATCAACAGTTGGGCAATAAGTTCACTTACATATTCGTTCGGTATTGTGAAATGGAGTAATACAGACCTTGAAGAGCTAGACAGAATCACTCGTGTAAAGCTCACAAAGTTCCATTGTCACCACCCAAAGGCATCAACCGAACGGCTGTACCTCCCTCGCGCACAAGGGGGCCGCGGATTGCTCAACATAACACAACTCTGCAAGTCTCAGATAGCCAAATTACAAAATTACTTTAATAACCATCTAAGTCCTAAGATAGCTGCTGTAGTGGAGGCAGATGACTCATTTACCCCTTTGAGCTTTCGACAACCTCAATCAAATACGGCCTCGGAATCGAATACTAGGAGGAGAGAATGCTGGGAGGAGAAAATTCTCCATGGCCGTTACCCATGCCAACTGAGAGGTGACAACATAGATAAAGCTTTGTCATTCACCTATTTGAGAAAGGGATATCTCCATCCAACAACGGAAGGGTTCATAACTGCCATCCAGGACAAAGTAATAAAAACAAAAAACTATGAAAAACATATTCTCAAATCCAACGTCCCAGATGAATGTAGGAAGTGCAACCAGGCGGGCGAAACCATCGAACATATTACTGGAGCTTGCCCTGCGTTGGCAGCTGGCGATTATTTGGGAAGACACAACCAGGTTGCAAAAATAATCCATTCACAGCTAGCTCGTAAACTTAACTTGGTACAATCTCCTCCGCCATATTACAAGTACACGCCTGAGCCAGTTCTGGAATCAAAAGATGTAATACTCTATTGGGATCGGCCATTTCTAACCGACAAAACTGTAGACTTTAACCGTCCCGATATTGTCCTGATAGACAAAAGCAACCAATATGCACAGATAATTGAGGTTGGAATTCCGCTTACACACAACATCCTCAAGGTAGAGCGTGAAAAATCTGTTAAATACCAGAACCTGGCTATTGAAATGAAGAGGATTTGGAAGCTAAGGGAAGTGCAGATTGTACCCATTGTTATCTCCGTGGAAGGGGCTGTTACCAAACAAGTCTCCTCAAGCTTAAAGACCTTGGACCTTCCAAACGGCCTTCACATACTATTCCAAAAAGCCGTTATATTACAAACGTGTCATATTGTGAGAAAGGCACTGTCTCTGTAAAAATTATCCTTGGTTGGGGTGAACTCCCCCTCAAAGATAGTACACCACCATACGTGAGGACTATGAGCATGAAAAAAAAAAAAAAAAAAAAAAATAATAATAATATTTATTTACTCAATGTACAAAGATAACAAACAATATGGCATCGCCTGTACATGGACCAATAATTTAAGTTGAAACTGTAGAATGCAAATGACAAAAAAGGACAAAAATTAGCTACAGTAGATTATGTATTTAGTTGATGTTCGTATTTATGAGTTTATGAATTTCAGTCCTAGATATAGAATGTAGCCACTTTTTTAAATTTCTTTTGAAACAATTTCCGAAACGTAAATCTTTTAAGTCTTTAGGTATAATTTCATAAAATTTAGGCGCTAAATAGAGATATGATCGCTGCATTATAGATTTATGCGGTTGAGGAACTACTGTGCCACGAATTTTGTACCTGGTATAATGATTATGTTTAATTTTTTGGTCGGTGGTTACAAATTTATGGTAGTGAGTGATACTGTGAAAGAAATAAAGCTGTCTTATATCATACATTTGAACATCTGCGTATAAATTTTCAGTGGGATAAAGTTTCGGTTTTTTAAATATCATTTTTAGAATACTTTTTTGAAAAACTTCTAAATTATAGATATGTGAGGAACATGCAGCTCCCCATGCTAATATACCATATGTGAGATGAGGCTCAATCAGTGCATGGTATAATGTTTGAAGATATTTTTCTGTCAATATATTCTCAAGGTATTTAATTTTGTAGGATACAAATCTAACTTTCTTTAAAATATAATTGACATAGATGTCCCATCGTAAGTGAGGATCCAAGACCACTCCAAGGTATTTTATGTTGGGCACTCTATTAATTTGTATTTTTTGATCATTAATATTGAAGGAGAAATTTGTGTAATTTGGCAGATGTCTAGCATAAGATCCAAATGGTAAAAAATGTGTTTTAGAGTAGTTAATGCTTAATTTTCTACTGTTAAACCACACATTTTGATAAAATCATTTTCAATTACATTTTTCAGATCAGACCAGTCAGTGCCTTCATATAATATTGCAGTATCATCTGCAAGACTAGTTATTTTGCCAAAACAATTAATTTGGAAAATATCATTTAAATATATATTGAATAACAGCGGACCTAAGACAGTTCCTTGTGGGACACCACACTTAATATACATTTCTTTACTAAATGATCCTGATATCTGCACAGATTGTGGGCGATTTGACAAATAACTTTCGATCAGTGAGTACGCGTTTCCTCTGAAACCAATTCTCTCCAATGCTTCTAATAATAATTTGTGATTAACTGTGTCGAAAGATTTCTTTAAATCAACAAAAATGCAGATTGAAGGGATTCTGTTATCAATATTTTGATATATTTGATTTACAATTTTAGTTATTGCGTCCGATGTAGCCTTCCCTTCTGTAAATCCATATTGATTTTCACTTAAAATTTTGAATTTTGTGAGGTATCGAATCATTCTAGTAGATAAAACTTTTTCAAAAACCTTTGCTACATTGGATATTATTGATATTGGTCTATAGTTGTTAACATCTGTTTTTGTTCCTGATTTATGTATCGGTATTGTATTACCTTTTTTTAAAATTGAGAGATATATGCCAGATTCAAAGCATTTGTTGATTAGGTAAGTGAGTGGTTCTGTTATGTCCTCGGCTATAATTTTCAAATGCTCGCTTTTAATACCATCGAACCCAGGACTTTTCCGATTTTTTAAGGACATAACAGTGGTGTATACTTCACATTGCTCGACTTTATCCAAAATAAATGAGTTCAAAGTTCTTTTTGGAGGCTGAGTATTTTGTACATTTGCTTGTATATTACTTGCTAAATTTTCGCCTATGTCAGTAAAGAATTGTACAAATTCATCGCATATCTGTTGAGTATTTTTTAATACTGTTCCCGATGTTGTATTTAACTCAGTGACACACTCTTTAAATTTTGTTTTCCCAGTAATCTCATCAATAGTTGTCCAAAGCCGCTTAGGATCATTTAAGTTATTATTCAATTTATTTAGGTAATGTTTTCGTTTGGTTTGCCTTGCAAGCTCTATACATTTATTTTGATATTGGTTGTAACAGTCGGTATTCTCTGTAGTTGGCGTTAGTTTCATTACATTATATAGTCTTTCTTTTTCTATTGCCGATGTTATTAATCCTTTGGTAATCCAGGCATTTCTGCTTTTCTCTTTGTGACTAATTATTACTTTATTGGTACTAATATCTATTAGTTTTTTTATTTTCTCTATGAACAGTCCCGTTGCTTTGTCTATATTATTTATAGAGTATAATTGTTCCCAGGATTCTTGTTTGACATTTGATATTAGTTTTGAATTGTCGACAAAAAATTTGTAATTTTCCTGGTTGTTATTAACGGTAGGAATGTTAGAATGTTTTTCATTTGAAGATATCAGTAAAATAGTGGAGAAGTGGTCAGTAATATCGCTTTCTAGGATTATTGGTATACAAGTAATTTTGTTGGATAGGTCTTTCACAAAGCAGTGATCTATACATGTGCCATTGATGGACCTTGTAGGTAGGTTTATATAGGACAGAAATCCGTTACTTGATAGGATATTCAAGTATTCATTTGTGATGGGATCATTGTCCAAAATATTTATATTGACATCTCCCAAGAAAATATGTTGCTTTAAATGAACTTTATTTTGATTTTGAAAAAAAAAAATCGATATTCTTCAAAAACTCGTGGGGTTCTGAACATGGCGGACGATAAATTTAGGTCTTTTAATAAAAAAACTAACTATTTTCAGAATGCTATGCGGTGTGGAAGGCCATCTGCGGAAGGAACTCTTCTTGGATAACCTGTCAGGCAACGAGAACAACCAATTTATGACTTATCTTCAAAAACACGAAGACAAGCAAAGAGCTCAAATGGAATTCGCAAAGGTCTGCACTTCAATGAACGTTTTAGGCATCAGCGAGAGTGAGCAAAAAGTGATATTTTCCGTTCTGGCCGCCATTTTTCATCTTGGCTGCGCTGGAGTTGCTAAAGGTAAAGTATAATTTTTAGTTTCTACCGAAAATTTGGAATTTTTTTAGAAGTAGATGCTGAGAGTAGTAGCCTAATGTGCAATTTTAAAATATTACAGTTTTTAAGTACTTCGTTTCATTCATCTTCAAATCTTAATGTATGGGTCTTTGGATTTAGATTTCATGCAGCAAATGATGAAAATTGACTTCAACGTCACACGACCTAAGAATTTTCAAAAGACTGTCAAATATAGAGACTTTAAACATTGTTGTAAAGATTAGTTTTTGGTGGATTTGTATAAAATCTCATGGGATGATATATATTACATCAGTAACTTAGAGGATAAAGCTACGTGTTTTTTCTAATCATATTTTGGATTTGTTTGATGTCCATGCTCCTGCTGTTTCAGCACGTATTACTGAACCTTATGCTCCATGGCTCACAGGTGGCATAAAATTTTTGATCTCTGAGAGAGATAAAGCCTTCAGAAAGTATCAGATTTTAAAAAGTCCAGCTAGTCTCGAATATTACCAGAAATTAAGAAATGATGTCATTTCCGCTATTAGGCGGGAGAAAGCAGCATATCTAAGCTTCAATGAACAACTAAATAGTAACAAGCATCTCTGGAAAGCTGTACATTCATTGAAACCCAAAACTAATGTAGATAGATCTTTACCTACGCAGTTGAAAAATGCCGATGAAGTAAACAATTATTTTTCTTCTGTTTTCACACCTTCGGGCAATTGCAAGGATCTAGTTGATAAATTTAATAGTACCAAAATTAATGAAAGTGCTAGATGTAAATTTAGTTTTGCTACCTCACAAAATGTGCTAGACATTATTCTGTCCCTAAAATCTAATGCAGCAGGTTCGGATGGTATAACAGTCTCAATGCTTAAGCATTGCTTGCCTCGAGTACTACTACCATTGACACATTTATTGAACTGTTGCCTGGAGGCTGGGTATTTCCCTGATGCTTGGAAACTATCCCTAGTCAAGCCCTTGCCTAAATGTAAAAATCCAAAATGTCTCTCAGACTTAAGACCTATAACTTTGATTTCTGTTATATCGAAGATATTGTAGAAATTGATTAAACATCAGGTTTATCATGATTTCTCTAATAATGATTTCTTTCCCAAGTGTCAATCTGGTTTCCGCAGTGGTTTTAGTACAACTACAGCTTTAGCAAGGGTTTTAGATGACATCATTGCTTCGCTTGATAAGGGAGATGCTTCAGCACTTGTATCATTAGATTATTCTAAGGCGTTCGATAAAATAGATCATGAGCTTTTATGTGCTAAATTGAAGTTTTTTTGGTTTTTCAGACATACCTCTAATGTTTTTTATAACATATCTTTCAAATCGTAAACAAGTAGTAGAGATAGACAACACTATATCTAGTCCGATTGATATAACATCAGGTGTCTCTCAGGGTTCAGTTTTATTGCCCTTGTTGTACTTAATTTATACTATAGACTTGGGTAGCTCTGTGAAAAACTCTTCTGTGATGTGCTATGCCGATGATACACAGATATATAAGAGCTTTAATAGTAACACTTTACATACTTCAGTCAATGAGCTTAATGATGATTTGGAGGCAATAGTAGGATACTCAAATGGTAACAATCTTAAGCTCAATAAGGATAAGTGCTCAGTGATGCTTTTTTGTCCTGCTGTCAAACGTAACACTATATTGAATTCTCTTGATGTAAAAATCAACAAGGAGCGTCTAGCTGTCGTAAATACTACAAAAAATTTAGGGTTGATTATTGATTATACTTTACGGTTTAAGGAGCATGTTTCGTCTATCTTAAAAAATGTTATGCAACTTTGAAGTGTTTTTATGTCAATCGCTCTATTTTGAATTTTAAAGTTAGAAAAAAGTTATGTGAGGCTATTATATTTCCAAGCTTATTTTACTGTAGCACTATGTTCTATCATTGTCTTGATTCTATCACAAAAGCAAGACTCCAAAAACTCCAAAATACTTGTCGATTTGTATTTAATCTCAAGAAGTATGATCATGTTTCCTTAAAGAGATTTCAGCTTGGTTGGATGTGTATAGAAAATGCTTGCAACTACCATATAGCAATGTTTGCACATAAGATCATATCTTCTCGATCCCCCTTGTATCTTTATGAGAAATTTGTTTTCAGACGAAACAATTCAGACATTGATTTCAGACACAAAAAAAGACTAGAGATCCCTATGTATAAAACAACTTTATTTCGTAGTTCATACACTTACAATGCTATCCTGATTTATAACGAATTAGATGACAATATAAAGGATTGGCCAGTAAACAGATTTCGTAAGCATGTGAAACAGATTTATTTGTCATTGTAGTAATTGTGGAAAAGTTAGTTTTTAATTCTTATATTTTATTTTATTTTTACGTAATATATGTGTGTATATATGTTATCATGTATGTCAGGAAGCTATCAAGCTCATTGTTTTGAAGCGTCTTTTGCTGTTTGTAAAAGTTTCCTTTGATTAAGTATTTCAATTTATTATTTGGGTAGGTTAAGTAGAGTAGCCAAGAGCTAGACTTCGCCTACGTAGAGGTCACATTATGTTGTAGTTTATATAATGTGCCTAATAAAGACATTTTATTATTATTATTATTAAATTACTTGAAAATGTTAAATTAATCTCTTTTATGTGATGCCGTTCCAACGATAACTTTTGGACGTCTTCATACTTCATGTATAGAATTTTATGTTGGTAGTTCTGGAGACTAGTTTTATGGTGAACATAAGGACCAATTTTGGGACCTTTCGAAAAACTGCAACTTGAATCCAGTCGAGGTCTGCTTGAAGAAAGCCTATAAGTTGCAGGCAGGTTTCTGCATTGTCTCATCGAAGCAAATTCGGGAAATACCCGACAGGGATCCCTACCATATCAGGATAACAAATTTGCAACACAAAATGCCGGTGAAGCTACAGGAACAACTAATCACAGACCTACCTGTCCCCTTAGCTCTTCAGCAGCCAGGACATCAATGGGGAGGACAACTCAGTGTCTTGCAAACCTCCACAAGGACTGGAGGTGGAATTTCTACGGCCTTAGCATCTCCTCCACGCGGAAAGAAGGCTTTATAATGCTAAGTGGGCTGGGCTAATCTGAAGGCAGCTGTCATCGGATGCTCGCATAATTAGAACGAGATCGCTCCTGCCAGATATCTGGCACAAATAAATTCATATTTTTCTCTTTCGGAGAGGCCAACGTAAACTGACTTAGGCGAAGAAGTAGACGGGCATCATGGGGACAGTATTTTTTTTTACACAAAATAACTTATAATTTTGATTTATTGATTGTTTTATCTACTTCTCACCCTGTATCTCCTTATGGCTGTCTTTTAGGTCCCATGTGTATAGAAACTTTCTGACGCAAGGGGCGATTCCGACCTAGCATTCATCTTTTGCAGTAATTCACCTCGAAAACGTGCAGCAGTTGCTTGACATTAAAATAGACATTTTAGTTCACGATTCTCAAAAAGAGGGTTTTGAAGTACTGACTCTCTTCGATAATGTATTTATTATTCTATCCGGCTAATGCTATTGCAATGCATTATTTCCAGTACCATCGTCAGGACCCGCTGGCAACCGCCCAGCCCAATTCGCCAGTCCGGCAGCCGCCCAACGCGCGGCCCATCTTCTAGGCACCACCGCCGAAGAATTGGCACGTTCCGTGTTTTCTGCGGGTCCCAGAACGCCGCCATCGCCCACCCCAGGAACCGATCACCATCACTATTCGCACAGAAATGGGGCGGGGGCTACACTAGACGCCGCCCCCGATGCGCTAGAGGCTTTTGCTGCCGCCCTGTATGCAGAGCTGGTTAATTGCGTGGCGCATCTCATTAACAGGTTAGTGATAAGAAGGGTCATATTAGCCATATTAAAATCAGCGTCCCAAATTACCCCAATATACCTAGTTTTATCATTGAAAAAATATTCTACTTGAAGATAGCAACCTTTGTTTTTAAATTTTAAAATGATTGTCGTATCATCGTTTATTTTTTAAACAGCAGCTCTAATTTTTTTTAAATAAATCTAAATTTCAGACATCAAATATAAGAGGTATTAGTCGAAAACAAGACCTTAAATCTGTAGTACCTAAATCAACACTTGTGAAAGACTCAATCATTTATAATGGTCTGAAAATTTACGTGTCTCCCTGATGGTATTAAAGGAATTAACAATTTGAGGCCACACGTCTCTTATTTTCGCTTTTTTTTCAACTCCCTGTTTGCCACAGCATTCTACATCCTTTTCATCTGATTACTGCATGATGTGTATATGGATGACTATAAAACGTCGTTTTTAATTTTTTTTGTCATAAAATGCATTTTTTGTGGATTTTTCTTCGATCGTGATTTTTTAACAAATATTAGTACAGCTCTGAAATTAGTAGTAGTAGTAGAAAGATTTATTTAGCACATTTGGCTACATAAACAGAATAATTGTAAACAACTTAGAACTAGTAAATTCAAGCCATATGGTGTATGATGTAAATGCTGGGCAACCTATAATTGCAGATTTAACAAGTGATTTCTCAATTTTACTTTAAATTTTGTCAAAGTTTTCTGGTCTTTTATCTCCGAGTATAATTTATTATATTCAATCAACCCTTGATGGAATACAGATTTGAAGCATATGTTATACTTTTTGGTCATTAAATGGAAGTCATCTTTATTTCTGGTATTATGTAAATGATGTTAAATTAGTTAGACTTGATGGAAATATATTATTTTTTACTTTATAAATGAATATCATTACAAGATATTTGATAAAATTTTTTACATTGAGCCATTTTAATTTGCTAAGCATTTGCCTAATTGGAGTATATTTATCTTTATTTAGTATTATTCTCATGCACTTATTTTGTAAAATTTGCAGTCTTTCAAAAATGGAATTATTTGCTAAATATAGAATAGTCGAACAGTACAAGAAATTTGGAAGAATGATGGTATTATAGATAATTTTTCTGCTATATGAACTCAGGCATCCAGAAACTCTCGATAAATATCCCACTTTACTACTAATCTTATTTATAACTTTTTCGAGAGTCAACAAAAACCCCCAGGTATTTAAAATTTTCTACGAATTCAATATCTTCACCATCAATATTCAGTTGAACATTTGTACATTGTTTTTTTCCGATTAACAAGGCTTTCGTTTTACTTGCATTTAATTTTAGTCTGTTAGATGCTAACCATTTTGAGACAAGCTTCAAGTCTTCATTTATATAAGAGATACCAGACTGAATATTTTTAGTACTTATATAAATCATAGTGTCATCGGCGAAAATCTGAATTTTGCATTTTTTGACTATGGCAGGTATGTATAAAATAAAAAGAAGTGGTCCCAGGATACTGCCCTGTGGAACACCCAACGTATTTTCAATTTTTGATGAAATAGTGTCATTAACTTTTGTAACTTGCATCCTTTTAGACAAATAATTTCTAAACCAATCTAAAACACTTCCTGTTATACCATATGCCTTTAATTTACCTAACAAAATATCTCTATCAATCGTTTCAAATGCCCTCTTCAAATCCAAAAATACTGCTATGACAACTTCTTCCGAGTCTATGGCTCTTCTCCAATTCTCAGTTACCAACTGGAAAGCCATTTCAGTGGAATATTTTTTTCGAAAGCCTGCTTGCGCCTCTACTAAAATTTTGTTTTCTTCTATAAACTGCATTAATTGGTCATGCACTATGGACTCTAATAATTTTTCAATGTCTGGTAACACATTTACTGGTCTCATATCGCTGCATCTTTTAGAATTTTTTATTTTGGGAACTGGTGTTATTGTAGAGCATTTCAAATTTTCAGGAAAAGAACTGCTTCTCAGTGAACAATTGATCCAATTTAATACAGGATATCCCAAAATTTCGAAACAGTTTTTCAGCACGTTTTTAGTAGTGATTTCGGCACAGTTGTTATTTGATTTTAAACTGTTTACTTTTTTTCTTAGATAATTCAATTACATCACGTTTTATCAGCCTAAAATTGCTTACAATTCGAAAAGAAAACATGACTGTACAATAGGAGAGCGCTGACGCTGACACGGAACAGGTGTAATCTAGAAATTTTTTAAGGGGTGAAAAGACTATGACAATCAAGGAGGCCATAAAGGCGACCTACAATTGTAGGAACGACTGACGATACGTTCCTTAACGCCCGATTGCTTAAAAGTATGTAGTCACTCTGCTAGAAAGAAAATCTACATGATTGGACCATGAAAGGTGTTCCTCAAGGTATATCCCAAGTACCTAATTGAGCTACTTTGGCCAGAATATGTTCATTACGTTTTACTAAAAGGCTGTTATCAAGTTGTGTTGCTTAGCATAACCTCTGTTGATTAGCGTTTAATGCAAGAGCGATATTATTCAGAGAGTGCTGAGACATAACCACATTTTCACGATGCCAACAAAAAAGTTTCACCTGTTTAGTAAATAACAACTTGAGAGAGAGAAAAAATGAACGCTGGCGCAGGATTAGAACCTACTTCAGGCCGTGGAGCTGACCTAATCAATTGAATGGTACAGGAGAAAAAATATGAATGTCACAAATTTGGAGTTTTGTAGTTAAAACCAGCAGCATGCGTCTTAACTCAGTATACTTTATCTGAAGTCACTTGAAACACTGTGAAATACCGGGTGCGTTTTATATATCTATATTTAACACGCTCTGTTGCTGCAAAAATCGCCAAATTTCGCAGCAAATATCCCCCGTATAAGATCAAAGGCAGTTTCACCGGTCCATGTGGAGTAAAGCACGCCTATGCGTGGACATAGCCAATGAGAAAGCGTGTATTTAAGAGCTCCGAACAAGTGCAGGTGGCTACTGAAAATTGAAACAGTTTAGCCAGTGCCGTGTAGCGGTGAATAAACGTGTTTTCTTTAGTCTCTCCGTGTTTTTTCATAGATTTTATAAGTTTGTGTGTTTTTGACTTTTGAATACTCAGTTTACTTGTTGATTTAATTGTTGTGTTGATTGTTCTTGTGTGTCCTAAATATGGCTCTTTGGAGACCTTGGGAAAATGCTCCAAGCCACGAGGAGATGGTTGATGAACCTGTGCAGGCAGAATTCTTTCATAAAGATTTAGAGGAACAGACCCAAAGAGTAATCCTAAATATGTATGATTGTATGAAAAACGAAAATCCAGATTCCTCGCAAAATCAAATTTTAAACAGAATTTGTATCCTGACAAAAATCAGTCGGTCTACCATTTATCGGGTTATAAAAAGGGGAGATGTAGTCAACCATTCCTTCCACAGAAAGCGCATAGGGCAAAAATTAAAAAGAATAGACGTAGGTTTTCAGGAAGATATTCGTCGTATAATATACGGATTTTATAAAGAAAATTTGGTGCCCACGTTGGAAATGATACGGGATAAATTAAAAGATTATCCTGAAGATTTTTATAATTACAAATGCTTAGACTCACTGCACTGTATTGTAAAACTGTGTGGTTTTCAATACAAAAAATTAGATAAAAGAATGGTGATTATGGAGTCGTCTCGAATCGTTGAATTGCGCCAAGAATTTTTGCACAAAGTTAAAATCTATAGAGAGCAGAAAAGAAATCTGATTTACCTGGATGAAACGTGGTATGATACCCATGATGTTGTGCAGTACGGCTGGGTTGACGACAGCAACAAGTGCATTTTAAATGCACCATGCAACCGTGGAAAACGAATCATTATTCTCCATGCTGGCAGTGAAAATGGATTTATACCTAATGCCTTGCTGTTATCTGCCAAAAATATCAAAGAATCATGTGCCGACTATCATGAGGACATGACCTCCGACTTATTTGAAAAGTGGATAGAGCAGCAGTTAATACCAAACATTTCCCCAAATTCAGTGATTATTATGGACAATGCGCCATACCATTCCCGACAGAAAAACAAAATTCCGAATACAGGCACAAAAAAACAAGACATTATTGATTTTATGAAGGATAAGGGAATGGAAATACCACAAAAATCAACCAAAGCCATATTATTGGATCTTATTTTGAAAAAGAGTATGTTGTTGACAATCTGCTTCAGCAAAATGGCCATGAAGTATTACGTCTACCTCCCTATTACTGCATTTTTAACCCGATTGAATTGGTCTGTGCTGCTTTAAAAAAAAAGTAAGAAAACATAATCAGACCCCTCAATTAAGTGAATCGCTATTGGCCACAATAAGAGATGCAGTATCTCATATTGCTGCCACATACCTATGGAAGCAGTGTTCTAGGCATATTATTGAAAAAGAAAATGAATATTGTGTTTTGCCTCCTGTAAATCCCGTTGTAATTCCTCTACAAGATGACTTTAGCGACAGCTCCGAAGGCGAGGATGATATATAAATACCTATAATGTAAGTCTTTATATACCTTTTTATATACCTACCTGCTATGTAAATATTTGCCTATGTCAAACGTTGGAATTCTGTAATTTTTCCATTTCTTAACTTTCAGTCAACATAAATTAAACTCCCAATATAAGTATTTTTTATCCCAAATCAAAAAAATAAGAAGATAGTAAAATTCATTTATTGTGATATAAAAACATTATTATTATCGTTCTAAATAAATGACCGCACGCCTATGACACGTCATGAAATTACAAAGGACGCGCCGACCAAAGGTTTTTATGCTATTTCAAGTGACTTCAGATAAAGAATACAATCCCATTAGATATCGGAAACACGCAAGTCCGTAGTTATACCCCATTGAAAACTTGCCGTGCAGGGAAACAAAGATGAATGTCACAACCGTTGTATGAAAAAAATATGAACGTCCACTGATCGTCACCGAAACTAGTAGCTACTACAACAATTTACCATACACCAATCTGCGACGAAAGATATAAACGTTAAGTAGGTTACCATTAATTTTGTTTTGTTTGTTCTATATCCTTTTGAAGAAAGCTGTTCTTGGTTCATTGTTTTTTCCTATCCCGATTGAAACAATATTTAGAAATAATTCTGTGTTTGAGCCATTGAGGTTTTCTGATGTTCTAGGCTATGTGTAATAAATTTCCTGTTAAGGTAGTTCTGATATTAGAACAGATCGTGAAACCTAAGATAGGCATTTTGCTGGTTAATCAACACTTAGATTTTACAGGATGTCGCATATGATGAAAGGCTGATTTTTATTCTCAATATCCCAAAAGAAGTTGAATTCAGGCATGGACGCGAACACATAAAACCGTTAGTAACTTCCAGGAAAATTACAAATTTTTTGTCGACAATTCAAAACTAATATCAAATGTCAAACAAGAATCCTGGGAACAATCATACTCTATAAATAATATAGACAAAGCAACGGGACTGTTAATAGAGAAAATAAAAAAACTAATAGATATTAGTACCAATAAAGTAATAATTAGTCACAAAGAGAAAAGCAGAAATGCCTGGATTACCAAAGGATTAATAACATCGGCAATAGAAAAAGAAAGACTATATAATGTAACGAAACTAACGCCAACTACAGAGAATACCGACTGCTACAACCAATATAAAAATAAATTTATAGAGCTTGTAAGGCAAACCAAACGAAAACATTACCTAAATAAATTGAATAATAACTTAAATGATCCTAAGCGGCTTTGGACAACTATTGATGAGATTACTGGGAAAACAAAAGTTAAAGAGTGTGTCACTGAGTTAAATACAACATCAGGAACAGTATTAAAAAATACTCAACAGATATGCGATGAATTTGTACAATTCTTTACTGACATAGGCGAAAATTTAGCAAGTAATATACAAGCAAATGTACAAAATACTCAGCCTCCAAAAAGAACTTTGAACTCATTTATTTTGGATAAAGTCGAGCAATGTGAAGTATACACCACTGTTATGTCCTTAAAAAATCGGAAAAGTCCTGGGTTCGATGGTATTAAAGGCGAGCATTTGAAAATTATAGCCGAGGACATAACAGAACCACTCACTTACCTAATCAACAAATGCTTTGAATCTGGCATATATCCCTCAATTTAAAAAAAAGGTAGTATAATACCGATACATAAATCAGGAACAAAAACAGATGTTAACAACTATAGACCAATATCAATAATATCCAGTGTAGCAAAGGTTTTTGAAAAATTTTTATCTACTAGAATGATTCGATACCTCACAAAATTCAAAATTTTAAGTGAAAATCAATATGGATTTACAGAAGGGAAGGCTACATCGGACGCAATAACTAAAATTCTAAATCAAATACATCAAAATATTGATAACAGAATCCCTTCAATCTGCATTTTTGTTGATTTAAAGAAAGCTTTCGACACAGTTAATCACAAATTATAATTAGAAGCATTGGAGAGAATTCGTTTCAGAGGAAACGCGTACTCACTGATCGAAAGTTATTTGTCAAATCCCCCACAATCTGTGCAGATATCAGGATAATTTAGTAAAGAAATATATATTAAGTGTGGTGTCCCACAAGGAACTGTCTTAGGTCCGCTGTTATTCAATATATATTTAAATGATATTTTCCAAATTAATTGTGTTGGCAAAATAACTAGTTTTGCAGATGATACTGCAATATTATATGAAGGCACTGACTGGTCTGATCTGAAAAATGTAATTGAAAATATTCGGTGGTTTAACAGTAGAAAATTAAGCATTAACTACTCTAAAACACATTTTTTACCATTTGGATCTTATGCCAAATTACACAAATTTCTCCTTCAATATTAATGATCAAAAAATGCAAATTAATAGAGTGCCCAACATAAAATACCTTGGAGTGGTCTTGGATCCTCACTTACGATGGGACATCCATGTCAATTATATTTTAAAGAAAGTTAGATTTATATCCTACAAAATTAAATACCTTGGGAATATATTGACAGAAAAATATCTTCGAACATTATACCATGCACTGATTGAGCCTCATCTCACATATGGTATATTAGCATGGGGAGTTGCATGTTCCTCACATATCTATAATTTAGATGTTTTTCAAAAAAGTATTCTAAAAATGATATTTAAAAAACCGAAACTTTATCCCACTGAAAAATTATACGCAGATGTTCGAATGTATGATATAAGACAGCTTTATTTCTTACACAGTATCACTCACTACCATAAATTTGTAAACACCGACCAAAAAATTAAACATAATCATTATACCAGGTACAAAATTCGTGGCACAGTAGTTCCACAACCGCATAAATCTATAATGCAGCGATCATATCTCTATTTAGCGCCTAAATTTTATGAAATTATACCTAAAGACTTAAAAGATTTACGTTTCGGAAATTGTTTCAAAAGAAATTTAAAAAATTGGTTACATTCTATATCTAGGACTGAAATTCATAAACTCATAAATACGAACATCAACTAAATACATAATCTACTGTAGCTAATTTTTGTCCTTTTTTGTCATTTGCATTCTACAGTTTCAACTTAAATTTATTGGTCCATGTACAGGCGATGCCTTCTATTGGGCCTGTTTTGATTTTATATTTATTTACTCATATTGTTTGTTATCTTTGTACATTGAGTGAATAAATATTATTATTATTATTATAAAGAGAATCTCAAAATACAAAAATAAAAAGCATTTTCCATTAAATAATGTTTGGTCTGCTTTCACTTTTGGGCTATCCTGTAGGTTAAAAAATATGTTTTTATTTGTAGTGCAACTTTTTTTTCAATTTATTATAATGTATCTATGGTACTCCGTCGGATCTCTGACCCACCCTGTATAACAAGTCTAGGAGTCTTCAAACTTTCAAATTCTCTGTTCTCGAAACTTACCTTTTGGTGACATTCATCTTTATTCCAATGTAGCTTTCAATTAGTTTGCATCACCAGCTGCCAATCAACTTGCAGGATCGATTGTTAAAGGCAAATTCAATCCTACCACTGTGTCTTTGTTCTGTCAAGCTGCTTAATGCCCCATCAAGTGAAATAACCCGGATTGTAGTTGCACCACGCCGACTCATGGGCACGCACCACGGTACCACCGTGTTAGGGACAGTAACCTGTAAACGAGTTTTCGGATCTGCAACCGCCAGTATGTTTAGAAAACAACCTTTCTCTCAAGTTGTGGTTCGCATATCCGAATAGAATATATTGATCAATGATTTCATTCATTTATGGGCACATACATGAAATTGAAATACCGAGTATCCTCCATCATGCTAGTGGACACCCAGACTTCTAAAACCTAACGGCATGTGATCGCCAAGTGGATTATTAAAAAGCACCTGGTGTATTTTCATATAATCTTTTTTCAGGTCTCTAGCATCCCCCACATACACAGTATCTTCAATCCTCCTAGTGGACACCCCAGGCTTCCAAAACCCAGCGACCTGCGGTCGACAAGTGGGCGCTTCCTTCGAGGATCTGTGTCACAACTATCTGCAGGAACGCCTACAATTGTTGTTCCACCACACCAACCTGGTCGCACCAAGAGATAGGTACTTGCAGGAGAACATCGATATTGTTTATGACGAGAACGAAACCGAGACTTTGATCAACCCGACGCCTCTGGTTAACTTGTTGGATAAGCAGGCGCAGAATACCGTCATTAGGACGTCGCAGATGGACCTACACGAAGGTAAATATAAGTTTCTTTGGTTTTGAAGTAAAAAAATGACGTCGATTAGGTTAACTCTGTATTTAATACTAATAAAAAAACGTAATTATTAAATAATATATACAACACAGGGTGTCCCCATATTCCGTGGACTTAAAAATGCCTCGTACTTTTATACTAAAAAAAAAATGATTGGACATGATCCACCTCTACAGTATATTCAGATAAGAGATAGACCGGATGTAAACAAAAGGTTCGGGTGATTTTCACGCTAACGCCGCCGTCTCGACGTAAAACAGGACCCCTCATTGGTCAATTCGCAATTAAATGCCGATGCCGAGCGGCAGAGCAGTCGTATCAAGGCAGAGTCACATTCAGGTTCAGACGTGTTACGTATGTCGTGTGCATCATTGCAATTTGATATTTCTTTGGACGTTTTCGTTTGTTATCTTATTAAGTTGTTGAGTTTGTCGTTGTTATTGTTATACCTTGTTATTGATTGTTATTGTTATCAACTGCTTGCGCAAAATGCCCAGTAGTACAGATACTGAAGGAATACAGGATACAGAAATGAAAGAGGTCATTTTGAATATATATAAGATCGAGCGCGAGGAGAACGAGGCATCAACCATCAAAGAAATTGTTGTGAAGGTTTCTCACAAAGTTGGGGTGTGTCGCGCATCAGTGTTTAATGTGTTAAGACAATACAAAAAAATCACACCTTTTCTGAGCCAATGACCAGTAAACATCGCAAAAGTATTGTTAAATCATTGGATGAAGCTGATAAGCATGCGATTAGGAGGAAAGTGCATGAATTCTTCTTTAGGAATGAAATACCTACTATAGATAAAGTACTGCAGGAGGTAAATGGAGATACAACGTTGCCAAATTTCAAACGATCAACTTTCCATGCGTTACTGAAGCATTTAAATTTCAAATGGAAAAAACGGGGTCGTAATAGTTTACTACTGGATAGAGAAGAAATTGTGCTATGGAGGAGGGATTATTTAACAAAAATTGGGAAATATAGAAATCAAAACAGGAAGATTTATTACCTTGATGAAACGTGGGTAAACGCAGGACACACTACAAGTAAAGTATGGGTTGATGATTCTGTAACTTCATCCCGGAGTGCCTTTCTAGATGGACTGTCCACCGGATTAAAAAATCCAGCAGGTAAATACGAGTAATAGACAACAATCGGATGTTTTTCAAACCTTGGGAACAAGGTTCTAAACATTAATTCCAGGGGGCAGATAAAACATATTACAAGTAACAAAACTTTTATAACTTTCGATAAAATGCGTGGATGTTTTATTGTCATTTTCATTTGTTAGAACTTTTTTAAGCCATGTTTTTATGTGTTTTCGATATTTCAATAATTTTTTAATATAATCTTAAAATATGTCGAATATTATAAACTTAAAAAAAGTTACTAAGTTTTATATTGTTTACCGTTCCTAATATTTCTAATCATTTTAATTCATACTTTAAGCTTTATTAAGTTATAATTTGTTAATATTAATATTTGCGCGTATTTCAGGTACCTGATCATTCATTTTTTAAGGGTTTATAACTTTAAATTAAATTGTGAAGCGCTGAGTAATCATACGACGTTCAATATTCTTTCTTTCAATATGACTAAATAATCCCAATTATAGCAATCTGATACTCATGTCTCAATGTTTTTTCGCTGAATGTGATGAAAACATTTGAAAAAGGTTCGCTTATTGAAATAAATCTACACCAGTTAGTACTTCGATTTCCAGGTAAAGGGAAAAGGCTCATTATCTGCCATATTGTGTGGTTTTCAAAAATTTTACCGAACTCAGAGGAAAACGCAGTAATTGTGTTGGATAATGCGCCTTATCATTCTCGAAGAATGGAGAAGGTCCCAACAACGGCTTCAAGGAAAGTTGATGTTCAAAATTGGCTCCGCTCGAAAAATAACAAATTTGAAGAAGCAATGCTGAAAGTACAATTATTAAGAATTGTCAAGGATCACAAGGCGGAATATCAAAAATTATATAGCTAAGCACAATACAACTTTTAAATTTTGTGACCTCAAAGGACTTTTCAAAGAAGCACTAGAATTAATAACAGCGCAAAAATGGGAAAACTGTATTAAGCACGTGAAAGACAAAGTTGAAAAGAGAATGTGGGAACTGGACAATATTTTAGAGGAACAAGTCGAGCCATTCATTATTGACGTTGGTGCTTCAGGCAGTAACGATGATGAAAGCTCATCAAGCTCATCTTTCCAATAAAAGATGTCGTTCATCAAATTCGGTAAGTTATAAGTAATTATAAAGCTACTGTATTTTTCAATTAATTATTGACATTTTTGAACCCATTTTGGCAAAACCTATTCAAGAATCTACTTTCTGACAATGTTCAACCATGCACATTTTTTTACGTTTTGAACGTTTTAATTTGGTTACATATTTACCTAGAAATCAAAAAATATACTAATCAATATTCTAAAAGCAATTTTAAGAGATATACGATTATTTTTAATTTAGGCTAATTTAAACGCCATTTTGAGATTATATTCGACTGTATTTCACCAAACATCAGGCGGCATTCGAAGCTGGAAATCGAAGCGAAAATTTTGAAACCCTTATGTATATTTACATCATTATATATTTCTTACCCCACCCCCACATGATCCTATATCCATCACCAATCGTATACACATCGAATTGTGCTAATTTACTACAAAGTTACGCAAAGCAGCATCTACTATCTAAAATATGTACTGCGTGACTCTTAATACGTCCCTGCCGAATGTTACAGCGTTCGATGATCACGTGGTCTTGTTTATGTCCGGTCTATCTCTTATCTGAATATACTGTAGGTAAAAGTGCTTCGTTTGTCCGTTAGAGGATGTCAAATTTGGAACACATGTGTTTTGCTAGACGTCCTAATATTTGGCTTTTACAGAAAAACCGAAAGGGTTCGAGAAGGGTGAAAACTACCCCTAAATCATAACAGAGTTTGTCGCAATGACTTTTTATTTAAAAGATCCTTTTATTCACTTCATTCTTGTCTCTCATAGTTTCCGAGAAAAAAGAAATAATTTTCGGAGCTGGTTTCTAAAATTTCTTCGTAATATATCAAGTGCAAACATTTTTTGCAGGAACGAAAATGGTGGTCATATTGAACACGTTTTATTGTCTGTAATAAATAAAATTGTAACAATTAATATCAAAGTTGTTTGTTTTCGCTAACACCACTTAAAGAATTTATATGACGCTTCGGAACAACTCATTTTGTTTTTTCGAAGCCTGTCTGGTTTTTATAGGAGACAAAAACTGAAGTAATTGAACAGATCTGCTAAATAAAAAAATCACCCTTCAAGTTTTTTTACCGTGAATTTCAAATTTCCCGCTCCAAATTACCTGAATCGCTTGCATATTCGCACCGATAGAGAACATTTTTTTTTAGTACCCAAAAGTCGCAAATTTCGCATAGTTTGAAATTTTTCACCAAAAAATAGAATGTAGCATTTAGTTTCAGCGCCATAAAATACGTGCAATAGAGGTCATTGCAACCGCATTTTGAGCATTTTAATGTTTAGTAACGAAACGCCCAAAATGGGTCATTCCGGAACGTGAGCCCGACTATCCTTATAACAACTTTTTTGGACTGCTGAAACCAAATCCGAGGCCCATTCAGCCCGGACATGACCCATTTTCGAGATACTGACAAGGATTCTACTTATTAAAAAACGGCTTGTCCAACGCATTTTCTTATGTCTATTTCCAGACTTCTCATCCATACAAATTGAAAATCATCGATACACAAATCATGTTCAGTATCATTATTGTATATGCGTAACAAAAAAATTGAGTCATGCCTAATTTTAGTACAAAGGGTACTATAAAAGTTTTGCAATACAGCTTTATTTATTGACTTCGTTCAAAGTAATTTCAACCACATTCAATTCACTTCTCCATCCGCCAAAAGCAACCCTTAAACCAGCTCTGTCAAGTTTCAGCTCATCGCTAGAAAACCGTTTTCCTTTTAGCTTCATTTTCACATACGGAAATTGTGCAAAGTCCATGAAGCAAGATCTGGACTGTAAGGAGGATGCTCAATAAGTTTGAGTCCATCAGCGGTCAAATACTCGGTGCAGGCTTTGGCGCGGTGAGCTGGAGCGTTGTCATGGTGGAGATACCAAGTGTCCATTCTTGACTTTGGCCACAGTTTTTTCATAGACTCTATGACTTTAAGCAGGCACTGTTCCGTGTACCACTTCGCTCTACAATTCCGCTCGATTTGAAAGATGCAGCTCAGGATTTTCTGACAACTACGGTTGTGGCTTCATCATCAAAGCCCCAAACTTTGTTTTGAGCCTTGGTCGGCTCATCGCAATAATAGAGCCGAATCTCGTCACTTGTCACGATGCTGCTCACATACTGAGATTGCCTCTTATCAAACATTTCAGCATCTTTCGGCACCAAGTCGTACAACGACTCTTCTGCTCTTCCGTCAGACTATACGGTACCCAGACAGAACAAAGTTTCATTACGTGTCATGCAGAATTGAATGAATTGCTGGTGTATGAAGGTGTAAGGTCTCCTCTATCTGTTGGTATGTTACTCTCCGGTCTTCGTTAAGCATTTTCCATACAGCAGTAATGTGTTTCTCTGTTCGCGGCCTTCCTTCGCTCTGAGCGTCCTCTAGAGTGAAATTACTCCTTTAGAATTCTCTGTACCACCTGAATATAGTCGTATGATGAGGACAATCATTCTTTAATGCAAGCTCATTTCTTCTAAGTACTAGTCTATGCTTAAACCACGCGTAAAGCTATACCGTAAAACTGCCCTTATTTCACTACATGACCACGATGCCATATTCCGCACTTTAAACTATCAATACGACTGAACAACTAAATTAACAGACGCGCTGCTGGTGGCTTATACACTCATGAACATGTCTCAACATGCAGTAACATGCAGCCTCCATTCGTTTGTTAAGTCATATTGAAAAACTTTTATAGTACCCTTTGTATTTCA